TTCATGAAATCTATTGGCAGTATTCAACAAACAGCTAGGCTTGTATTGGCTAGCTTCCTGTATTAGTTAACACAAATTGACCCTCCTTTCCAAATTCTGTGCCATCTTTTCTTGAATATTTTCCTGTTCAAGTTAATGATCATACAATTGATAGCTGGACTATACAGGTTTTTCTATATTGTGTGTATTCGATGTAGACATATGGTCTAGATAGGCAAATTGAGATATCTGTGAAATAAAAACTGGTTTAACCCCGCCCCGTTGGTGCCTGTACCATGTCAGGCTTTCTAAGCAAGGCATTGTTCATTATGCTTGTCTTGGTTAGTTTGTCTATTTTTTTCTAAGGAGTCTGGTGTTTTTGGTTGTTGTATAGTCCAATATTTTTGGAGATTCCTGTTATTCTTTTTTTGTATCAGTATTTGACTCCAATAAAGAATTCGGGGATGACAGCACCATTTCATAGTCTCTGATTTTTTTAATTCAGAACACAACTTACCGTACATAAAAAATGTAGCTGCGGAATCCTAACTTTTATGGTCCTTATGATATTTTTCAACAATTTGCAGAGCCCCAATTTAAAAAAAATATCATATTGACCACAAGAGCTCCAGTTCCACAGCAAAGCTTACCAATGATGTTGGATATAGACAGTTTGGACACTTATCTACTTTTTGAAGACCATACTTTGATCTATCTCCTTGTTGTTTTTGTTTTATTGTTATGTTAGGCAGATGACTCATTGAGGTATATCCATATCTCTTTTTTAACATATTGTAAAGGGTTTGTGTGTATATTGTCCATGTGTAGGTAAACATGTTATAAATATGCTTACTTCAAAAACGTTTACGTTAAATGTATTTGCTTTTTAATGGGAAGACCTCTAGAAAATACTTTGATTTTAAAATCATAACTATTGTAACCTAAATGGAACTATCATTAAGGAGGATAATGAACCACACTGTGCACACAATTCATATTTCATGGTCAAAATGATTAAATAAATCTGATTGATTGATTTATTATTGGTGTTTAACACCCCTTTCAGCACTCTTGGCTATATTGTGGCTGCTTGATGGAGGAAGCCGAAGTGCCCAGAGAGAACCACGACCATAGGCAGGAAAACTGGCAATCGTAGTCAATTAAGACTGGAGTCAAACGAGCAGGGTTTGAACTCACACCCTCAGTGTTGACAGGCTAGTAGCACAGCAGATGAACTACTTAGACCACTTGGCCATCAAGGACCCTAAATTAATCTGAAGTCAAAGCAACAACAACAGAAATCAGGTCTTCTAATCTAGTATTTTAGATGTGGCATTGTTTTATATAAATTGTTAAACACACAAGGCAAATGAGCATTTTGCCAAAAGAACTGAATGATTTTTATTTTTTTTTTATTTACAGTTCTGTAACAATTAATTAATAATATCTCTCCACTTTAGAATTAACAAAAGTAATTAGAAAAATAGAAATATGGTACAAATATAAAACTTCCTTTTGATCTTTTAAATAAATATATATATAAAAAAATGAAAATTAACTCACATTACAGTTTTATTTTACCAACAATACACTTGCTGCACATGTTTCTTTCTTTAAATATGTTTTTGTTTTTGTTTGACAAGTCTCCTATACATATACAAAATTGTAATGAATTACAATAAAAATATAATAAAATGATAAATAGAATAAATTAACAAACATAACAAATTCTAAACTCTGAGACAGCAATAAAAGGTAAAAAAATAAAGGGGAGATAACTCAATAAGGTAATCCATATTTTTTTTTTTATTCACTTTTCCTTTAAAAAAACATCACTATTTTTGTTGCATCATATTGTTATCAATGCTTTTTGTTCATTTCTGACTAGGCATTGAGTTTTTTTATCAAAGGATTTCCATTCACAGCTGCCAATTTTGTTTAAATGACAAAACTTAAGTTTCAAAGAGGATGAAATAATAAAAATGTTTGCACAATTTCCGGAAATAGCAATAATTGATCTCTCATTGTTGTTCATTGTTTTACAATTGCAATAATAAATGCAAGCATAAATTTCTGGATTTACTGTATATAATTATCACCAAAAAATACAAAAACATTATTCTTATGAAATCACATCAATAAGTAAATCTATAAACCCTCTCATGTAAATTACAATTAAAATATTTTATATTGTCATAGGAAAATATTTTTTTCTCTCCTTTAAAACATACAATTATAATACAGGCATCACCAAAATATAATTCTTTGATTGTCAAGAAAAATAAACAATGTTTCAATTTAAAGTGTATACATATATTTCATTAAAATATAATTCTTTATTGTAATATGTAAATGAATAATATTTTGATTTAAAATGTACAATTATATCTCAACAAATATATTTTATTTACTGCATAGGAAAATGATAATGCTTTGATTTGAATGTATAACTATATATATATGTAATCAAAATATATTCTATTTATTGCAATAGGCAATTATAATGCTCTGATTCGAATGTATAATAATACATCACCAATATATATTCTATTAATTGCAATAGGAAAATGATAATGCTTTAATTTGAACGTACAATTGTATATCACCAAAATATAATTTTTGGTTGTAATAGGTATTAAAATTAATAATGTTTTGATTTAAAATGTACAAATATATATCACCATAATATAATTTTTTGATTGAAATAGGAAAATAATAATGCTTTCATTTAAAATAATAATTATCACAGAACCCAAATAAACAAATCTAATTCTTGAATATATATACCTGTGGGTTTATTAATATGATGGTCTAAGCAAGGTCCATTAAATTTAACTTTTCAATAGAAGTCTGACCGACCTTATCATGATCATAATTCAAATTGCCTGAAGAATTATAAATAGAACAAAATTGAGAATGGAAATGGGGAATGTGTCAAAGAGACAACAACCCGACCATAGAGCAGACAACAGCTGAAGGCCACCAATTGGTCTTTAATGCAGCGAGAAACTCCCGCACCAGGAGGCGTCCTTCATACATGTTATGGTTATTTATATGTTACAGACTTTTCCTGACAAAGACAGGAATTTTTAAGAATCAGGAAAGGAAGTTTCAAAGACCATTTCTTACAACATTTTAGAACCCATATAAATATTTACTGACCTTTTAAAAATGACACCCACAATATAAAAGTTAGAAGATGTGGTATGATTGCCAATAGGACAACTATCCACCTGAGACCAAATGAGGTGGAATTTAGCAACTATAGGTCACAAAAATGAAAAATACCTGATTTAACACTTATTGACTGACAGTGAAGACAGAAATTGTTCTCTTTCTCTACTTTATGGATGTACTTAGGTGAAATTAAAACAATCTAGAATTTAAAATCTATACTATAAATCAAAAGAGCATTAGTTAAGGAACAAAATAAGTTAAAAATATTGATAGGTTATGGAGCTCCTTTTATAGATATTTAATTTTTAAAAAATGGCGGGAAAAGGCAGGCTCAGACTTTTACCTTATATCTGCACTGGTATTATTTAGGTTTCAAATCATAGAAAATAAATCTAGAATCTGCTTAAATTTTGGTAAATGACCTTTTATGAGCTATTGAAGTCTTATATGAAAAGAAAAATGGGTGTTATGGGGCAAAATATTTTACCCTGTATCGTAGGAAAAAAAACCAAAGAATCCAAACATCTGACAATAAAATGCTCCGCTGGGCGCAGCTTGATACGACCACAGAGGTCGAACCCTGAACAGTTGGGGCAAGTATGGACACAACATTCAAGCTTGATACAGCACTAAATTTGGATTGTGATTAAATATTTGACACAGCATAGGTTTCTGACACAGAATGAATGTGGTCTAAGAACTTAAAAAAATTTAATTTAACTATTCAAACCATATCATTATTATTTGCTTTTATATATAAATCAGAAATAACCAATTAAAATGGCAAATTTTAAAGAAAAAAAAGGGATAAAAAATCACTCCCCCAAATTTTTTGAACCCACTTATGATTCATCACCCCCAAACTCAATCCCAACCTTCCCTTTGTGGTATGGTACCTTGCAGTACAATTTCAGAGAGATCCATACACTTGAACACAAGTTATTGTCTGGAAACTAGAAAAATGCTTGTTTTTTGGCCCCTTTTTGGCCCCAAATTCCTAAACGTTTGGGCAATTACACCCAAACTCAAACCCAGCTTTCCCTTTGTGATATGGAACCTTGTAGTACAATTTCATAAAGATCCATACAATTACACACAAGTTATTGTCCTGAAACTAGAAAAATGCTTGTTTTTTGTCCCTTTTTTGCCCCTAATTCCTAAAATATTTAGACAATTACGGTGAATTACCCCCAAAATCAATCCCAGCCTTCCCTTTGTGGTATGGTAGGTTGCAGTACAATTTCAGAGAGATCCATACACTTGAACACAAGTTATTGTCTGGAAACTAGAAGAATGCTTATTTTTGGCCCAAATTCCTAAACGTTTTGGGCAATTACACCCAAACTCAATTCCAGCTTTCCCTTTGTGATATATAACCTTGTAGTACAATTTCAGAAAGATCCATACACACAAATTATTATCATGAAACTAGAAAAATGCTTGTTTTTTGCGCATTTTTAGCCCCTTATTCCTAAAATTTTGAGGCAATTAACCCCAAAATCAATCCCAGCATTCCCTTTGTGATATGGAAACTTGTGGTATAATGTCAGAGAGATCCATACACTAACACACAAGTTATGTCTGGAAGTTACAAAAATGCTTATTTTTGGCCCCTTTTTGGTCCCTAATTCCTTAACTGTTGGTACCCTAACCCCAAAAATCAATCCCAACCTTCCTTTTGTGGTATTGAACCTTATAGTAAAATTTCATAGAGATCCATTCACTTAAACTAAAGTTAGAGTGCGAAAACCAATATGTCTTCGGACGACGCCGACGTCATACCAATATACGACCGCAAAATTTGCGGTCGTATAAAAATTCCTAAACTAGACCTAAGTACATCCTTATGCAGAATTGGCTTTTGACCAACAAGTTATGACTAGATCTCACAGTGAAAGTTTCAATAAATGCATAAAACACTCTTTGGAATAAGTAATATAAGTTATTTTACATTTTTTAAAGTGTTGTATATTATTCAGCTTAAGATAATAATTTTGATATGATAATAATTTGATATGCTATCTACTCTGTTCCCCGGAACATTTGTTCTTGTTTTCATTCCTCCATTGCAATGCATTATACAGTTACATTAAAAGTGACTATTGACTAGAAAATGTCATCGTAAGTGGAATGTGGTTAATTTTGATTTGATAATGATTAGATATACCGGTATGCTATCTACTCTGTGCCCTCCTTTTGTCCATCTTTTCCTCTGTCCATTGCAATGGTTTATAACGTAACTTATAAAGTTACTGTTGACTAGAAAATGTCATGGTGACTGGAATGTGGTCAGTAAGTGTAGCTAGTCTTGTAACAAAGCTAAAATTCTGTACTGCCTGAAAATAGAGACAACAAATATACTTCTGTGGAATCATTGTTATTCGTTAGATACCAGGTTTTGTGGATTTCCTGGGTACAGGTAAACCATGAATACAAATGTTCAAGGAATTTCAAATTACGTATAGGCTTTGTATACAGAGATTGGCAAAACCACGAAATCAAATATCAAAAATGTTTTCCTCAATCCACAGAAATTGATATCCACGAAAATGAATCCACAGTACAAACTACATCTAGTTGATCTGACAAGCAAAGGTGTCAACTCATCTGAAATATGTTTGATTACTGTAAATTCAGAAATTATTGCGATGTTTTTATTATTGTGAAAAATGCGACAGGGTTATAATCGCAATAATTTAAACTCGCATTTAAAATTCTTTTATATGAATTACACTGGATTTTTTTCAATATAGCAAAAATTAAAATCGCATTTTAGTCTAAATTGACAAAATCGCAATAATAAATGCACGCAATAATTTCTGAATTTACAGTAAGTCATTTCCATTGCCAGGAATACTCTTTTACTGTATGTTGATTTCTGATGTTATTTTAAATTTTTTATGGGCAAACTGGATCCCTGTATTCTTGATCTGACAAGGTCATTGTGCCCTCTTCACATTTTTCAAGCATATCTGTCATTATTCTTATGTACATAAGTTAACACTACTACCGAAATATATCAATTTCATCACTTTTATTTAAGCTGCAATATGAAAATTATCCCCATAAGAAATTCATCCCTTTGCTCAACATACTGACATACATTAAATACTCAACAAATGAACAAAGGGCTTTATATAATGTTGTAAACCAAATACTTTGACATAAAGATAATGATTGCAATCAATCGCATTGGTGAGAGTCTCACAATATGTTTTAGAACTTTGGAATTCTCCCTTTAAAATTACACCTGCCACTTTGGAGAAAAACTTAACTCAGTCTAATTCTCCCTCTTTGAACATTCTACTATATGAAGTCCTAAATCCTGTTATTTTTGTGATTAAAATCAATCATAAGTTTACAGGAAAAAAAATTGCAATTTATGTTTGATATTCAAGTTTATTGCATTATGTTTTTTAGTGAAAGTTTGTATGACATGACCTTTAATGATAAGTAGCATCTTACCAATGGGGTATCTTTTCTGTAGAGAATGTAATCAATTCTCCTTCTACCAGACACATCCATCAGCTTAGTCCTAACATCCTCATCATCCAAGGGTTTGGTCTTACAGATTTCCCTCATTGTACCATCCTTTATATTACCATCTACAACGTATGTATGTCTCAGAATAGGGTCTTCTAATGCTTCTTTAAGACCTTCTGGAGAGGAAATTTGATTCTCCCAAAGACACATTTGCCTCATCTCTGTACCTGTGAAAATAGACATATTTACACTTGTATGCAAATTTGTCTGCCATTACTTAAAATCACACTATTTCCCGTACAATTTGACATCACAATTAAAATAAATTGACGTCATAATTAAAAAGTGATTGTTGCTTGACGTCAGAAGGTTATTCGGAGACAGATCTAAGGTCATTCGGAGACAAAATTCAGCTAAATACCAAAAGTGTAAATACATTTATACAAATGATAAACATTCAAATTACTTATTCCAAGTAACTAAGAGTAATAAACTTTGACACACCAACCAATTAAAATAACTACTTTGCTTCGTTCAATGATTTGTTTTGTTTGCTTACCTTGGTTTAAATTGAAAGAAGCAATCTGTTATTGGTTGAATTCAATCCTATAACATATTTGTGTAACTTGTTACAAATAAAAAAATCTCATCAGTAAGAGTTGCTATTTGTTTCCGAGTCATGTTGTTTTGTACATTTAATGATTTGGTATTGCTTTCACATCTTCAAAAAAATGATTAAATTGTTTATAAACTCTGGGAAATTAAGAGATTGTCATAAAATTTTGGCCTTTGTCGTCATGGAGAGGGATTATGATGACCTATATAATAAAATTGAAAATGGAATGAGAAGTCTGCTTTTGATAAACTTGTATTGTTGGTAGTTTTCCCCCTTTCCAGCAATATTATAGGAATTAGTGAAAAAATCAAATCATGCTAGACTACAATATCTATCATACCTATTGTCCAATCTTGATCTTGTCCTGGACTGATACGACACACGTCTTCATACACATCAAATAATTTATGTCTTGTACAAGGCTCATCAACTGTATCAAATTTGAAAAAAAGTGTACAACCTATATAATGTAAAAATTCTTGCATAAAATAATGTCTGACCTCAATCAATAAGAGAAATAAAAATGCTAAGCAGAGTGCTTATCCCAAGTCAGGAAGATAGTCAATGGTTGTCTGATTATTTTTTTTTTTATTTTGAGAAATTGGTATCGATGGTATATCTATGATCAGCCCTTTTAAATTTATTTAAATATTTTTAGACTTTGGGAAATTTAAAGCTTAACATGTTGCATGGACACCTGATCTATAGTTGAACAGTGAATGTTAACTTCTAGATATCTTTTGGTTACTGTAAATTCAGAAATTATTGCGAGGTTTTTATTATTGCGACAAATGCGAAAGAGTTGTAAACGCAATAATTTAAAATCGCATTTTGAAAATATTTTATATGAACTAAACAGGATTTTTCTCAAAATCGTAAAAATTAAAATTGCGTTTAAGTCTAAAATGACAAAATCGCAATAATAAATGCACGCAATAATTTCTGAATTTACAGTATTTGTGTCCCTGGGTTGCTATCTCATTGAGGTAAAAAATGTATACCCCAAATCCCTTTTTATTTCTATGTAGTATGCTATAACTTTTATAATAGACTGTTGTTAAGAGATGGTCCCTTTTTAACCATATAAAATTTATAATTTATAATGAATCCTCAGCTATAATATGAGCTACCTCACATGCATATTCCAAATACAGTTTCTTATGAAGCTTTTTCCAAGAAAAAATTAAGGAATTATATTTTCCCCTAAAATTGTACAAGTTGAGATACTTGAAGGATAATTTTTCATAAATTTTCTTAGTTTTATACGAAAGGACATCATTTCTCATACTACTTTACACTATTTGGAAATATATTGACTTTTTGCAGGCTATTTCTTGGGGTAAATTTGTGTACAGGGTTGTTACTATTTTGATGTTACCCAACATATATTATTAACATATAGCAAGAAATATCTAAAAACTGTAATGACATACTTGGAGAAATATTGTCGAAATTGAAATCACCACATAACACATCAAATACAACAATGTCCTCTAATCTGACAGATTCCTCACGGAACTTTTTGGTCCATAACAATATCTCATCTAGTTGTTTTTGTATTATGTCTTCCGTTCCTATAAATATTTTAATGAATCAGTATGAGGGAGAAATATTCTAAATCAAGATTGAAAAATCCATAAAATTTTGTGATCTTTATATTATTGCGAAATTTGCAATATGATAGGTTTCACAAAATAAAAACAAGCATTTCAAATATTAACAGCATTATTTGTGAGCCGCTTTTCCTCAAATTGAAATAATTTATTCACAATTTGTTCATTGTTCAACAAACGAAATAAAAAATGCATGCAATAATTTCTGAATTGACAGTACATCGATGTATTACATATTACTAATAATAGCATCAATGTCAAATATAGTAATGATTGCATTTAGATTGTTGTTGTTGAGTTGCTGTCTCACTGTAGTAATTATTATCTACTGTCTCTTCCTTATGTTGGATCTTTTAACATATTTTGCATAGATCAACAGAGATTGGGTACCAGATTAACCCTGCCACTTTTGCAGGACTTGTACCAAGTCAAGTCATAAAGGTAGTCTGACTCCCTATTTTAATAATCACCAATGTGCGTTTTTCAAATAACATGACAATTATCACCCATGTAATTTTATAATCATCCAGTAATCTTTAATTGTATAAGTAAATTTGTCAAATTTGAATTTTCTCTTCAATGTTTAAAAAATCTCTCCTTATGATTCTCCAAAATTACTTACACAAGTATTTTTTGAATCCCTGTAAGTCTTAAGTTCGGGAATTCAAAAATATTATACAAACATTTTTTCTGGTTTGCTAACTATTTTTTAATATTGTTTAACTAAGAGATCAAAGTTTTATCACAAGAAATAAACAATGAAATCTACTGTGCACATTTGTTAAGTAAGTGTGCAAGGTCTTCAAAGATTGGCCACGGAGGCTTGTTCATAGGCATTATTTTGAAAATAACAGGCAAATGAGATTTTCATTGTCCATGAAATTTTACTTTTATCAATCATAAAGACAATTGTAAAAGACGAACATTTAAACATCTTATAAGAACAATGAAGTCAAGAGAAATTAAAAAAAAAAAAAAAAAAAACTTTTTTGACTTTTACATGTAAAATCGATCAAAAAGACTATTTAAAAAGGGAGATAATTCGACTTCCAAAATTATTTACCTCGTAACCTGGACAGTTTATAAAAGTGACTTGTATAAGCATTGTAGTTCCCTTATTTTTGGTAGACTGTAAATAATTTTATTTGATTGCATGTGTTTATTATGTTTATTGTCTGATGTGTCAGTGTTGACTTTTCCTGTACACATACTAGTAGTTTACTTTGCAATTATAAAGATACCTTGATACGCCTGCAAATGTGTAGTGAAAATGTATCCAACTTCATCATGATGTTCTGTGCTGGAAAGCAGTACCTGTAGATAATAATGTTTTTTAATAAGTATTTAAAGAAAATCTAGAGTTATCTCCCTTAAAATGTCAAAAATGTTATTATTCAAATTATAAAAACCTAATTAAAAAGACAAAAAATCATAAAAGAAAACACTTCAGTTCTTTTTCTGGCTACATTATACTCCAGCTATATATCTTTGTTACAACATAAAGTGATTTATTTTTTGTGGAGTTTAATTTTCAGGATTTCAAGGGCAAAACTAATTCATAAGGTTTCATTTTCAAAGTTTTCTTGTCCTTGGTTTTGGTCTTCTTTAAAAATCAAATTTATACAACATGTAAGATTTTTTTTTTTATAGGATTATTTCTATTCATGTTATTGAGAAATAAATGGAAATAAACCCTTCTAAAAAAATCCTGATTTACAGTACAGATGATACACGATTACTTATGAAGAAAACAAATATATGCAGTGTCATCTGAAGCAAAAAATCTAGATGTAACAAAGAACAATGTAAGAGATTTAAAAAAAAATCTGGTTATCATTTGTAAGATACAAAAGGCAATATATCTAATGTCAGTTGTATCTACCGTGGATTAGTTACTTTTCTTGAGGTACTGATTGAAATATTCATGGATTTTATGGGGAAAGATCAACCACAAATTTGAGTGTTGCACAAAATGCAAATATCAAAATAGATTTGTTTCAAGATCAGTCCAAACAATAAAAATAAAGTATTCTTAAAAAAAAGACCCAACAAATTTCCACAATCAATAAAAATTGGTACTCACGAATATATATAAATTCACAGTATAGTATACAAACCTTTGTCATTAACAATCCCTTTGAACTGTAGATACACTGTGAGAAGCTGTCAGTATAAGGATGAAAATCAGCATCTAGGATTTCATATTTACTGGCTAACATTAAACCACTATTTAACATGAACCTGTTTGTCAAAAGATTTGTTTTTCCTACATCATACAGTATCCATGGAAACACTTTATGAAGTTCACTCATCAGTTTGTGACTGTAATCTCTATCCCATGTTTCCTGAAGGCACAAGAAGTCAAGCTTTGGAAAATGAGTCAAAATATTATGGCCTGGTTCCACTGCTGTTTTCTCTGATCGTGAAGTACCAGAATTTTTCCTTGATATAGGTGAAAATGACTGAATGGAATTCATTGAATTTTGAAAAAAAAATTGATCAATAACAATTCTCTCTCCTATCATCCATGATCTGTGATCAGTGTTGGGTAAATTATTTATTCTAGATAAAAGCTCTGGTAAAAGGCACAAGTTAGCTGAGCTAATGGTAAAAGTTTTACTCAAACTCTTACTCAGCAGAGAATTTCTCCTACCATCTGGATGAAGTCTACCAACAGATATGCTTGCTCTTCTTTCGTTAATGGATGGAGGATGAAATGATTTCTCCACAGATAAAACATATGGTCTACGGAATAAATGTAATAAACAGCGTAAAACAACTCCGAAAATAGCTGGAATTCCAAATATCGATAAAAACAGTATTATCAATGGTGGGTATACCAATTTTTTTATTATAATCTCCAAATCCCAATGATCTTCTTTTGTAGAGATGAGAAATGGTGATGTCAGCTGGTTCACTGTCCAAACAACAGGGTATAATGCAACTTCACTGATGTAAAACAGGTACTGTAGAAGGGAGATTGGGAATGCTGTTTTATATAACATTTTGCCTTCAAGCCTGCCTAGTCTCCATAAATCTAAAACAAAATATGATAAAGATAACATGTTTTTTTTTTTACAAAGTATGATTGCAACTAGTAAGCTAATTTTTTTTCTATTTCTATCTATCTTGACTATTATTAGGTACTGAAATCAGTCTTTTTCAAGTTAAACAGCTTGCTTCATGTAAGTTTTACTGATCAGCAATATTAATAATTTTTTTTAAAGTTTTTTTTTAAAAATTTCAATAGCATCAACCATGTCAACCACTTGCATGAACATGCATATGTTTGGAATAAATCAGTTGTAATAGGAATGACTACTAACTTAAAAAATCTTTGCATTATGTAATATTACTTTAGTCCAGATAATGATGATCATGATCATGATGTAAGTTGAGGTTATTTTTTTATTTTGATTTTTATATATACTACCTTATTGACACAGGAAGGTATGTGCCAAAATAGCCTTTCAAAATTTCATCATTATTTGGACTAGGTATACTGTAAACCAGACCTGGGGTCAATTACATGCCAAAGTAACTAATTACATTTCAATCACATGCTGATTTTTTTTCTTCAATTAAATTAAAATTATAATTGAATTAATTTGGAAATGTAAAAACTAATTACATTACAATTACATAGTTAAAATAATCAATCACATTGTCTACTTAATTAATTACATTACAATTACATTGTCTAAATAATTTATTACATTACAATTACATTGTCTACATAATTAATTACATTTCAATTACTTTTGTGCTTAGATTTACTTTATCATGTACATAATATACCATAAAAATTTGAACCAGTTAGTATGAAACTTTTTAAATGATGGAACCGATTCAGTGATTGCACTATAAGTTTTGAAATTTTGTATTTCATTGTTACATTTAGTCATCAATAGATATTTGAACTCAAAGGGATCTGTTATCTGAATTTGCCTCACATCTAAATTATTGTAATTCATGCCTTTCTTAACATGCTTAATGCCTTGTGTGGTTTTTGATATTTACTTTATTCTGATTCATATGTTTTTTTTTCACTTCTCATAAGCTTTCTCTGGTCAGTGTATCAATCAGACATTTGTCAGACATTCATGATAAGAGATAAGATCCATTTCTTATGTATTAATGATGATTTATCATGTTTATTTTTGAATTATTTTTGTATTCAGGAGAGAGGCATAAATTAAATTGCACACACAAAAAAACCCATAAGCATACTGTGGATTCATTAATTTCACTGGTACCAATTTTTGTGGCATTGAGGAAAATTTGTGTTTTCATGGATATTTTCTCATGATTTTACCAAAGGCTGCAACCCTTTAGAAGATTTATACTTTGTTTGAGATTTAAAGTTATGGTTCACCTTTACCAACTAAATACACAAATATTGGTATCCCACAAATAATAATTAATTCACAGTAGTTGAAATAATCCACAGGCCTTAAATGTGAATTACAAATCCCCCCTTTTCTTTCCTTCTGGGTTCTGTATTTTCAATGACAAAAGTGTCTAATAAACATGCAATCATCTGGTATATTTACAACCCATTTAGGATTCAGTTTAATTTTTATCTAACATGTCTAACACATAAGAATATGCAAGGATTTGTATAGTAAGTCCTCTTACCAATACTGTACAAATCCTTGGAATATGTATTAACTATTTTCTTCACACCTTTTCACTTGTTATTGTATCTGTACTATAACTGTGGACAGACACATGTTCCTTGTTAATGATGTTAAACATTAAAATTGTTCCCCCATCAGTTATGTTGAACAGCAAACCATACAACCAAACTCCAACCAGAGAAAAGTTCAAAGTCAAGCAAAACAAAAGTGAAAGTAGAGGATAATGCTAAATTAAGTATTCAATGTCTGTAATAAAACATCCACATACTTTAGTATACAAACATTTTTCGAACAAAAAATTTCACCATATTTTTATATATATTTTATTCTTCTAAATATTTGTATCTTGAGGCCAGAATATTTAATTAACTTATTATTTTACCTCGACCGGTTCCCGATCACCGTTGTTCCTACTTTCATTTTGTTGAGGGTATTGAAACAGCTAGGTAAACACATTGGAATTTTGTTCTTGTATATTCTCATGTTCTTATTTGAATTCCTTTCATAGTCTGTGTGTATTTTTGTTTTATTGTATTTAAAGGTCATTGAATAGGATATTTTCTGCAACTTACACTTTACTAACACACAAACGAGCCGTGACATAATATGTTTTTTGTAATGGTGTGTTATGTCCTGTTTTTTACCCTGTAACGTGTGTAAATTACAACGGATCGCTTGCCGTAACAACGGAATTAAAGCTGAGTTTAATAGATTGTAAGTCCTACAACTTCTGGTTTAAATATCATTATTATGAAATTATATATTTTATTACATATACGTGATTCTCGGGTCAACCAGCGCATTTCCAAATAGCGATAAGGTCTATTACGGTTTTCGGCCACAATCGATTTGGCCAGACTGCCAGTACTCACTCACTCCGAGTCTGCCATAAATAAATATAAATAGATAAACTTTTATTTTGAGTTGGCATTCTATAATAAACAAGGATATACAGTGCATCATGCCAAAATCACAGGCTCTTGGGTATATGATACAGATATTTTTTTTTTTTTTTTTTGTTGATAAAAATATTCAATTTTCTATATTTATACTACATATCTATCACTACTGCGCATGTCTCACCTTGTTTCGAGTGATTTTACCAACAGGAACGGGGACCCAGTTATTTCCCCCATTGAAACGCATTGAAAATCATAGTAAATAAATGGGGTGCTGTCCAATAAATAATTTTGATAGCCACCTTGGGACTTCTGTTTCACGTTAGGCATTTGTTTCGAAGTTTCTAAGTGCAATCTCAGTGCCTCATGACCGGCATTCCGTTGCACAATTTTGTTTTGATTGACAACAGGGTAGGTCGGTCTACTTCCGGGGAAGAATAAAGGCTAGAATTTAGGCAATTTACTCTATGTACCGACGCCAGATTACATTTAAATCAATCAAAATTTTTACAGAAATTCAAGCTAGAAAGCCTACCCATTCAAATAAATCTACATTCAGTTACAGAACTTGTGTAATAATAAAACTACACCATTTTAAATAAAAGTTATATATTTTTTTTAAGAACTACATTCGTGGGTACCGGACTGGTTGCCGTAACTGGGATCCTATTCCTGTCAGACTTTAATTTTTTTTCCAGACTTTAAACTGCACTTTTAAAATAAAGATATACATCTCAGTAGTTATTGTGCAAAGTTTTAATAGATTTGATCCAACAGTTACAGAGTTATTGATCCTTATCTATGACATCTCAAATACCAGAAAATTGATCGGATAAAATCATAAATTCATGAAGAAAATATGCTTAAAATCAGCAAAACTTTTTTATTTTAAAAGATATTTACATTCTGTAAATTGCACATGGTAGATGAATTCATTTTTGATATGGAAATCTAGTTAAAAAAAAAATTCTGCTGAAAAAAAAATAATTATAATTATTTTTTTAATTAAAAAAAAAATCTTATAAGAATTACATATGCAAAGAAGCATACCCCATAACAAGGGTATAAATCATGAGACTTAGTCTTCAAACAGTCAGCTAAGTTCATTTAATATACAATGGAAAAGGCTAGATGCAGAGAAGTTCTCACTTGTAGCTAAAACCAGTCAAGACGGCACCTCCTACAGTTTAACAAATGTCGGGGGAAATCCTGGATCTGCCTGAATGCTTAATGCTACTGTGCGTTGTTATACTTGTGACTGCTCTAAATGTCCCACTAGTTCATACGTGTGTGGTGGTGGACACTCAAACTGTTGGTGGCTCATAGGAGATCCATGTACTTGGGTCCAAACAAGTTAACCAACCTGAATATGGATAACAAAGACAAGTTAATAATGCAGGAACTTTTAAAAATGAAACTTAGCGAAGAAGCATTAATGAAAATGAAATTTAATCATAACACTCAAAAAGGTGAATCTGTTAACAGAGCACTGTTTCCTTACCAAAGAATATGAACTTTTCTAGAAATTTGAAGGGAGGGAGGGCATCATCAATAATTCACACTTTGAATAATGGTATAGCTTATTCCTTGTGACAAAAAGCAGAATGTATTGGTTTTAAAATCTCAAAAGGTTCATTAAAACACTTCGACCAGATGTAAAGGGAGTGTGAACGGAACAAAGTAAACCAAAATACTCCAGAAAGGAAAAAGAAAAATTTACAACGCACCAGACAGAAGACTATGGTTCAAGTGGAAGAAAAGGATCGAAGTAAACGTACAGATAGATATAAAAAAGGGCAATCTGATCCAAAACTTGATGCTGCATTTGTAAAAGCATAATGGACGATCATTCATATGGTAGAGTAATACCTGCTAAGAAGAATATACATACCAGAAGTTGTTCTTCAAAAGTACCAAAATCAAGGAAGATATAGCTGCATTCATCTACTGCTGAAAAAGATACAGACAAAATTAACGGTCCTTTTAAGGACCACCAAAATCTTTAAAAAGGAGTCTAAAATTGTTGTACATTCAGTTAAAATTGTTTATATAAGCTATAGCCCTACCCCTTACACATCTTCAAAAAACATCCAGGCCCAAATCTTTAAAATTGGAGAGCCCCTGGCAACATTTTCTGAGTTTACAAAATATTCTGTCGTTATTTATGTGATGCGGCTCTTCAGTAATGTAATTCCCACACAAACTTTTATGACACATAAAATGGCATAAAGTGTTTTATTTAATATTTAAAACTTATCAAAAACTAATTAAAAACCATAAAACTGAATCTATGGGCTTTTTTCTTTTTCCAGGTCCCAGAAATAGGATACTGGAAAGAAATAAGCCCATATTTTCCATCTTTTGTTGTCCCCTGATCCCATATAAGACATTTGTTATTTCTTGCCAGGTGGCTCTTTTCTAATATTCTTTGCTGATATTTTTCGAAAAATCCCTCCATTTTAACTTACAAGTGTATGAATACATAATACCATCAAAATGACCTTACTGTAACCCCTTTTGAAACTTTAAATTGAAAAACAAACTTTTTAAAAATTTCACATAAATTTAAATTTCAATTTAATTTAAAAAGTTTAATTCAAATTTTAAAAATAATTACACCATTGTTTTCCTTATTGAATTTTAAAGTTGCTGGCCAAATTTCATCTATGTAACTCCACAAATAAGCTTACAATTGCAGATTGAAGTGTTCAAAATATGCCCTCTGACAGGAACGGGGACCCAGTTATTTCCCCCATTGAAACGCATTGAAAATCATAGTAAATAAATGGGGTGCTGTCCAATAAATAATTTTGATAGCCACCTTGGGACTTCTGTTTCACGTTAGGCATTTGTTTCGAAGTTTCTAAGTGCAATCTCAGTGCCTCATGACCGGCATTCCGTTGCACAATTTTGTTTTGATTGACAACAGGGTAGGTCGGTCTACTTCCGGGGAAGAATAAAGGCTAGAATTTAGGCAATTTACTCTATGTACCGACGCCAGATTACATTTAAATCAATCAAAATTTTTACAGAAATTCAAGCTAGAAAGCCTACCCATTCAAATAAATCTACATTCAGTTACAGAACTTGTGTAATAATAAAACTACACCATTTTAAATAAAAGTTATATATTTTTTTTAAGAACTACATTCGTGGGTACCGGACTGGTTGCCGTAACTGGGATCCTATTCCAACACTGAGACAACCCCCCATTTTACTATCCACACTAAGAAAGTTTCTTAGTGTGGATAGTAAAATGGGGGTTTGTCTCAGAGTTGGTAAAATCACTCGAAACTAGGTGAGACATGCGCAGTAGTGATAGATATGTAGTATAGATATAGAAAATTGAATATTTTAATCAACAAAAAAAAATATCTGTATCATATACCCAAGCGCCTGTAGCCAAAAAGCCAAAATAATTGTCACTTTTCATATTTGCTATATATTTCATATAAACACATTTTTTGAAAAAAATATTTTGTAGGCACTTATTACTGTTGTGTTTTCACAAAACAGGTGTTAATGATGTACATGATGTAGTCAGGTGAAATTAAAAAAACCTGGAATTTGAAATTGATACTATAAATCAGAAGAACATTAGTTAAGGAACAAAATAAAAAAAAAAAATGTTAGGTTAATGAACTCCTTTCGAGATATCTAAAATTAAAAAAAATGTCTTGAAAAGACTGACTTGGACTTTTACCTACATTTTGTACATTTAGCATTGGCATTATATTTGGGTCTCAAATCGTAAGAAAAGAAATCTAAAATCAACTTGAATTTTGGTAAATGACCTTTTATGAGCTTTTGAAGTCTTATATGAAAAGAAAAGTTGGTGATATGGGGCAAAAAAATTTCCCGGTATTATAGGGAAAAAAACAAGGAGTCCAAACATCTGACAAAAATTCCTAAGCCTGACATGACTACATCCTTAAAAGACACATTATCATGATTATTGTGTAAAGTATATTTGCTTATTACCGGTAGGTCATGGTTTTGTCAATTTTTTTTGCTTTTTTTCTTGTTATGATATATATGTATAATAATTTTTTACAATTCAATTTGGTTTGAAATATATAGCAAATTTATGCTAGCATATATCACTTTACTGCACTGTTTAGAAAAGTGAAAACTTTGTTAATTTCTAAATTTTGTTTCAGTAACATTACCTATGCACCTAGGAGTTTGAAATTTTTGAAAATTGATTAAATGGTCATCACATTAAAGAGGGTGGTAAAGGGTTATTTTCGTGCAACATGTTTTGCCATTTTTATTTCACGTGCAGCCGTGAAAAAGGTTCGTCATTCACCGTGTTTCATGAAATCGGTAAAAAGATCAACATGCAAGAAATTTGTAATTGCATGTTCGTTCATCATGAAATGGCAATTTTATTTCGCGTTCTTCCGTGCAGATGCCCCCTTTACGCCCCTCATTAAAGGAAAATCTATTAGACACAAATAAGAGTAGAGTATTTTACCTCATTCATTGTTTACATTAGTCTTATAATATAAACATTTGTAGGTCCTCATCATTTGCTTTCAGTGTTTTTTTATCCCATAAACAATATGGACCTACAAAGGCTTATATTATAAGACAATGTCTTGACATAACCAGCTGCATTTGTCCTAAGATAGGAACCTGATGTTCATTGGTTGTTGTTTGTTGATGTGGTTCATAAGTGTTCCTGTTTCTCGTTTTTTATATAGATTAGACTGTTTGTTTTCCTGTTTGAATGGTTATACACTAGTCATTTTTGGGGTCCTTTATAGCTTGCTGTTCGGTGTGAGCCAAGGCCGTACTTTGACCTATAATGGTTTACTTTTACAAATTGTGACTTAATGGAGAGTTGTCTCATTGGCACTCATACCACATCTTATATCTATATAGGTATTATATGTTCTGTAAAATTGACATGTTTTTACCGCAAACGATCATTTTAAATATAATTTTTGGTTATTAGATATGGACAACAGCTTTTTCCCTATTACTTCTCTCACATCAACATGTTTATACATGGTATACATTGGTATAAGACATCTACTTTGCAAAATATTTTATTATGAATTTATTGATAATAAATAAATGTTAATGACAAGATCTCAGAATGTGGCTCTTTTGGCAAAGCTGCAGTTTTTGCAGTTTTTGGGCAAATGCCTAAAGTTTTAGGACATATAAAGCTTATATAAAAGACAACATTATAAAAACTATGAATATTGATACCTGACAGACTAATTGTCTTGTGAGCTTATGACGAATGCTATTTAACAAATTTATAATCCTTTCAAATTTTTAAATCCAGAATACAAAATTATGGCTCCATTATTCCTATTCCTTTAAATGTTGACTTCTGTTACAGATATATCTTAGAAGCTTTAGTGTGCATGTCAACAAAATGGATGTAGTGAAAATAAAAGAAGTCGCTGAAAGAACAAAGGAAATGGCATTATTAAGTGGTATACAAATACAAATACAAATTAGAAATGAGAGTATGATATTATTTTATATGTGTGTAAAATGGCAGTTTTTGCTAGAACCTTTTTAACTTACTTCAGGTATCCCAAATATTTCACAATCAAAACACTGGAAATTTGATTGATTTTCTATAGTACTGCTGTCTATATTAATTTGCAGTGTCTGCACACCATCATGGGGTTTTTGCAATATGGTTTAAGCCAGGAAAATTTATATTTTACACTTTGTTTGTTTGTATGCTGGTGTTTTACACCACTTTCAGCAACCTGGTCATATCTTGGCAGCCAGTTTTTATTGGTGAAAGCAGCCAGAGTAGCAGGAGAGAACCACCAACCTTCTGCAAGACAACTGTCAATTCTTGTCAATTAAGATCGAAGTGGAACAGATTTTTCCATGAGCAAATTAAAATTTTAAGAGTATAGTCTGTTGTTCTTGTGTGTAAGTTCAGTTTACAAAAATTCATTAGTCAGATTTCATGTTTTCTGGTTATCTTCAACAGATGACATTATATTTGCAAATTTTTAATGGATTCTTTTGTCATGGCAAGCATCATAGATCTATAGTGCAGAATGAAATACACTTAGTCTGATTTTGTACTTGACAGGTTTACAAATGAGACCAGCTGAATCTCCATCTTCATCAGATCTGATACATCATGGACCATTTACTTTATTCCCGAGTAAAATTCCTAGTAAAATATTATTCCAAGCCAAAGAAGCACAGAAAGATTTTAACTTAATGATGCACAGAGTAGCACATGATCATGATTTTCTTTATCAGAGTTTAAAAAAGTAGGTATTTAGATAATTTATGTTAAAGGTGTTCTATTTAATTTTGACGATGGAGGGAAACAGTTGTAATTTGAAGATTAAAATCAAAAGACAGAAGTCAATTTACCTTAAAAGGTGAGGAGGTTAAAGTACTCAAAACAAAATTTCTAATGATGAATCTTCAAATCAGTCATTATGACCGCAATTGTCAACCACCTCCTTATAGAAGTTATTTTCTCTGAATGATGATTTTTATCAAATTTTGCATTTTTGTCAAAGACTATAGGAGCTAGAGAGGAACTTAAAACAGCAATAAAAGATAAGAAAATTGAAAATTTATGATCTACAAGTAAGTCAACATTGCCAAATTGTCACACTAGTTATAGAATTTATTGCCATTAAATGATGTTTTCTGTTTATCTTAAAATCTTAAATAGATAAAATGTAAAAAGTATCATCAATACAAGCCCTACAAAAATGTCTTATTGATTGCAATAAAGGAGAAATATCAAAATGGAAATTTTTTACCAGGTTAGCAATTCAGCCTCTTGTGACAAACTGTGCATATCAATGTACCATTAAAGAATAGTACTATAAATGTTATGATTCTTTTCTTATTAGTAATAGTTCAGAAAAAAGATCAAGTAATTTATTTCAGTCTGCATATCAAAATTAAGACAAGGGGAGACAATTAATACATTTTTGATTTACTGCCGCTGTTTTACTTCCATCAATAGACCTCATAGTAACTAACTGTTTTGGCTTTATATTTCTATTTACAGTGTGATTAAGGTGGATGAGTTTACCAAACATTTATGGGATATTTATGAAACAGTTAGAAAGGAAGGGCCTGCACAGGTAAAAACAGAATGTGACAAATTTAAGTTTTTTTTCTCTTTCCCAGCATTATGATCACAGCAATGAAATAACATAACAGATTGGCCAATCAATTTTAACTTGTGTAAAGTAAAGATTCATAAGATTTTTTTTAAACAAAAAAAAAATGTAAAATACAGATTTCTAATCATGGAATTAATAAAAACAATTTTTTGTCAATCTTTGTTATTTACAATATATGATTTATGTATTAAATCCAGAAATGTGCAACAAAGAGTTATTTTTAACTTTGATTCCAAATACAAACATTCATTTTATTTCTATTTGTTGCAGACAAAATGCCTAGGATTATTTAGAAATGATTACATGATGGATACAGGAGGTACAACCAATACAAATATAGACAAGCTGAAACTAAAACAGATAGAATTTAATACAATTGCTTCCAGTTTTGGTGGATTGGTGTCTCAGCTTAGAGATGTACATAGGTAATCCCATACACATTTCTATATGATTGTTTTTATTCAATCCAAAAATTTAGAATGATCAGATCTTTCATTCTAATTTGTGAAAGTCTAAATGAAGTTTTTTTCCCAAAAGAAAAAAATAAATCTTTTACTAGATTACTGTTAAAATCAATTCATATTTAAATTAATATGTATTTTAATTCTGTATTTTATAAATCCAGACCTTACTGTCTATCTGTTAAGCAGAGCCATTAAAAAGGATAAGTATGACTAGCCAGTCCAATAATAACAGCAGCAACACTTCAAATTAAGTTCTGTTTTCCTTAATTTTTGAACTTTAACAGTAATCTAATTCTGTAGTTATTGCTTTTTGTGTCAGATTAATTCAATGTATGGTGTAAAGGTTTTCATGATTGTAAAATACATAATCCATTATATGATTAATCCTTTACAGATATTCATTATCAGAGGCTGATATTGAGTTTAAAGATGAAAATGTAAGTTTTACACAATACATTTTCTTTCTAAGAAACATGGAATAGATTCATATTCATTTTCAAATAAAAAGGGTTATTGGCACATGATTACATACATTGTTTCTTACCGATAGTTGGTAAATTTTTTAATTTTACATATTTAAAGGTTCTAACAATTTAAGAGAAAGTTGACCCATAGGAGTTTTTTTTACTCTTTTAAGGCCAATTTTTGTTATAATACTACCCACGATGTACTTAGAAATGTTAGCTGTCCAAACCTAGACAATGAGTAATCTTGTTGATGTTTAATTAATGAAAGTGCTTCCAAATAAGCAAATTAAATTAAGGATATTAAACTTATTTGTAGTAATGAAAATATAGAGAAAATATCAAAATTGCATAGCCATAAAAAACTAGTCATGTGAAATATCATGCTTCATATCATACATGTAAATTGCAGATTGTATTACAGGCTATAAAAATCAAATGTATATGACTTTCAATTTTATTTTTCTTTGAAAATTTTTGTCCTTTATATAAAAAAAAATTAATTTCCTTTAAGCCTTTCCAGTAGCCTTTAAGATTTTCAGTATTGAAACTTTTTTTTCCAGATGCCTAGTAATAATCCAGCCAATGGTTTAGCAGGAGGTTTGGTAAAAGGTTGGGAATCCTATGGTAAACAAAGGTAAAATGATTGTCTTTTTAAATACAACTTTAAAACCTACATTTTTTTTTTACGTTTAACATCTCTTCAGCTTTTGTTGGCAACTTCTGAATTCCAAAATTTGGCTCTCAGCAACACTGAAGGTACCTTATTGTAATATGGATTTAGTGCATGATAAATGTTATTCTTCATAATATGAATTTAATAATTATATAATTTTTGTCGAGCCTGTGACTTTTGTCGCAGAAAGCTCGACATAGGGATAGCGATCCGGCGGTGGCGGCGGCGGCGGCGGCGTTAGCTCACTTCTTAAAAGCTTTATATTTTAGAAGGTGGAAGGTCTGGATGCTTCATACTTTGTATATGGATGCCTCATGTTACGAAGTTTCCGTCAGTCACATGTCCAATGTCCTTGACCTCATTTTCATGGTTCAGTGACTACTTGAAAAAAAAGTTCAGATTTTTTGTAATGTTAGATTCTCTCTTATTATAAGTAATAAGATAACTATATTTGGTATGTGCGTACCTTGCAAGGTCCTCATGCCCGTCAGACAGTTTTCACTTGACCTCGACCTCATTTCATGGATCAATGAACAAGGTTAAGTTTTGGTGGTCAAGTCCATATCTCAGATACTATAAGCAATAGGTCTAGTATATTCGATGTATGGAAGGACTGTAAGGTGTACATGTCCAACTGGCAGGTGTCATCTGACCTTGACCTCATTTTCATGGTTCAGTGGTTATAGTTAAGTTTTTGTGTTTTGGTCTGTTTTTCTTATACTGTATGCCATAGGTCTACTATATTTGGTGTATGGAATGATTGTAAGGTGTACATGTCTAGCGGGCAGGTGTCATTTGACCTTGACCTCATTTTCATGGTTCAGTGGTCAAAGTTAAGTTTTTGAGTTTTGGTCTTTTTTTCTAATACTATGTGCAATAGTTCAACTATATTTGGTATGTGCGTACCTTGCAAGGTCCTCATGCCCGTCAGACAGTTTTCACTTGACCTTGACCTCATTTCATGGATCAATGAACAAGGTTAAGTTTTGGTGGTCAAGTCCATATCTCAGATACTATAAGCAATAGGTCCAGTATATTAGGTGTATGGAAGGACTGTAAGGTGTACATGTCCAACTGGCAGGTGTCATCTGACCTTGACCTCATTTTCATGGTTCAGTGGTTATAGTTAAGTTTTTGTGTTTTGGTCTGTTTTTCTTATACTATATGCAATAGTTCAACTATATTTGGTGTATGGAAATATTTTATGATCTATTTGGCAGTCACGCAGGTTTTATTTGACCTTGACCTCATTTTCAAGGTTCATTGCTCAGTGTTAAGTTTTTGTGTTTTGATCTGTTTTTCTTAAACTATAAGCAATAGGTCAACTCTATTTGTTGTATGGAAGAATTGTTAGCTGTACATGCCTGCCTAGCATGGTTCATCTGACCTTGACCTCATTTTCATGGTTCATTGGTCAATGTTTAGTTTACTTGGTTAATGTTAAGTTTATGTGACAGTTGTAATAAAGCTTTATATTTAGGACTATCAACATAATATCAATGATTAGTAAAGAAGGCGAGACATTTCAGCGTGTGCACTCTTGTTTGACAAATGCAAGGTTATTTAATGAAGCATACTATTATAAAGATATCTAAATTGCTAAGCATAACAGTGGTATCATTCTGGCCTGGGTCAATTAATATCAGCCCATGGCTGCTGCATAAGATTTCAAACACTCAACAGGAACATTAATACTTTTATCATAAATTAAAAATATTAAATGTAAAAAATGTATGAAATCGGTTAGAAATTAAATTTAGAAAATCCAGAATTTATTTAAATTAAAATAGATACATGTATTATAAATATACATATTATTTGAATCAACTACACCTTTAGGATAGCTACATGCAGGTTTACTCTACTTTCCTATTTTTCAGCGCATATGTTTTGTTTATAGTGGATAAAGTAGAGAGAAACAGAATGGACCAACTATGGTTAGAAAAGGAGGCATTTAATATAAATAGACATTGTAAAGTTATTTATAGTACATTTCAAGACATAGGAACTAACAGTGTGTTGAATGATTCAAAGGAATTATTTATGTAGGTAAATTCAAATGATTATCTGTGCTTAATAAAAAGTAGGTAGATGCTAAAGAGGCAACATAATTTAATGAGGAAAGATATGACCATTGCAAAAAGTATATAATGCAAAATCAATTATCAATCAAGAAAACTAAAGATTCATTTGTGGCATCAATTGTTTTGCTCATGACAAGTAAAAAATCTGGTGATTAGTCATATGTTGTGGTCACATCAACTTGAAAATTAGTATACACATGATCATCTTGGTGTAAACTTTTAAAGATGTATGCCAAGTTAGGGTTTTGACCCAGATTTCCAAGTTCACTGCCCATGAAAATGTGATTGTGCAAGCAAAATTACTAGGATTTCAATGAAAATTGATATCTAGATTTATTAAATATGCTATTCAAAATTATTCCCACTGAACATGCTGAACATAACATATTTTCATTGAAATTCAGGTGTAAAACCAAGGTTTGTTAAAAATTTACAAATTTGAGAAACTGTTTTTTTTTTTCACTACCATTTCGACATAGATGAATATGTATGTATAATATGTTTATACAAATTCTGGTGTCAAATTTGCATGCAGTTAAATTGGGGATAAATGTGGTGAAAACTTAGTTTTTGTTAAAAAAATCAAAATTTTTGAATATTGTCTTCTTGTGCTTGGATTTCAACAAAAAATATTAATATCTAGGCACCATAAAATATTCCAAATTAATTCTAGTTATCAAATATGGGGTAAAATCATTTAAAATATGCATTTTCATCTTTCAGAGATGGAAAAGAGATAGCTGTTGTGTACTTCAGATCGGGATATTCTCCTGATCAATATAAATCTCAACAGGTGAATATATATATGACTGTAAACTTTAATACACTGCGCATCTGGACAGTGACCATGACATATACACACACCAATAACAGATCATGTGATTGCTAAAAGAACCAGGATGTAAAAATGAAATCAATGTCATGTCTGTTTAAAAGTTGGCTGGATGTAGCATATCTTGGAAACACTAGCTAACAAGTTGATTGAAGCAGAATGTCAAAATCTTATTCAAATTAGTCATTTGGGAAAATGTAAGATAAGTTTATGACAGGCTCTTGTGATATTTATCCATTTTGCATTGATGCAATATTAAGCAGTAATCAAGCAATCAATCTAGCTACAATGACATGATAAAGATGGTTCAGATACCTTAACAAGGGGAATTCCATATTTGAATGAAAGTATTATCTTGGAAATGTCTGTAGACCAGATATCTTTTGAAAGACATGTCAACAATGAACCAATTTGCTATATTTTGTCATCCCTGTCTGCAGATGGATTTTTAAGTTACTGAAATTGATCTTCTAAAAACTTTTCTCCATGTCCTGATTTTGATGATTTCAGATTTATAAGTCTTGAGTTCTTTTTTAATATTTAAAACTTTGAGTGTCTAAAGATAACTATATAAAAATAAGGAGATGTGGTATTATTGCCAATGAGACAACTATCCACCAAAGTACAAATAAAGTGGATGTAAGCAATTATTTACAACCATACAGCCTTCAACATTGAGAAAAACCCATACCATAAAGTCGGCTATAAAAGGCCCCGACATGAAAAATGTGAAATAATTCAATTTAGAAAACTAACCGCCTAATTTATTACCAAACAATTTACAAAAAAACAAATATGACAGACATGAACCTACGACAACCACTGAACTACAGGCTCCTGACATGGGACAGGCACATAAAGAATGTGGCAAGGTTAAACATGTTTGCTGGCGCCAAACCCTCCTCCTAACCTGGGACAAGGTTGTAAAAGTACAACATAAGAACATACTATAAAAATCAGTTGACAAGGGCTCACAACAAAAAAAACAAAAAGTACAGATCTGAGAGTACTCACAGCTACTGACAAATAGCTCAAAGCCAATAACAACTAATAAAAAAATTATGTATCTAAGTCCAAAATATCCATTTGTACACATCCAACATCCAATGGATATAGTGTGAAGACGCATTAATAGTCAGAGAAAAACATGACCTTGTGCAATGCCGAAATATAGGTATCGACAGATTGTAGAACCAGGGAATGTGCATATATGTATAACAATGATATTTAGAATGGTTTGAATTTACTGATAACAAAATCAATATTTATACCAATGAAAACAATATTCAAAGATGTAATTACAGTGTTGAATTGGTAACCTTTTAGAATAAGTTTATTTCAGTGTATGTTTTGTTAGTTATTTAAGAAATTTTACACAAAGTTTGGTTTCATAAGTTTAAATTACAGTTTTGATTTTCACATGTCATTTATTTTGTAATAATAATGTATTTTGAATCTTGAATATTTGTATGAAACACTTTGTAAGTAATTTAATTTTTTGAAGGATTGGGATACAAGATTAAAAATAGAAAGGTCAAAGGCCATTAAGTGCCCCACAGTACATTACCAGTTAGCAGGAACAAAGAAGATACAACAGGAGTTAGCTAGACCAGGAGCTGTAGAAAGGTTTCTATCTGATCCTGTAGCAATAGACAGGGTCAGACAGACATTTATTGGACAGTATAGTTTAGATAAGGTAAGGATAATCTATTGCCTTGTTTAAACTTTCTGTTTTGATTTAGGCTGAATTTTCAGCACCCATTAAATACATGGATTATCTTTATCAGTTATGGACAGCTTTCTCAAGAAATTATACTTGTATGATTCAGTTGCTTTTACTTGATAAAAAATTATTGATTTGAACATATCCCCAGCTACGTTGCATTGCTTTATTTTAACACTCCAGTACAAAGATACTGAAAATGTATCATCTAGTGATAAAAAGATTAGAAAGAGAATACAGAAAAAGTATGAATACAAGGCTAATAAAAAAAACAGACAAATAGGATAAGTGTAAATCCATTATTTCAATGGAAAACTTGAAATGAAATTTGTTTAGATAAAAAAAAACCTAAAATATACCTCTATTGAACATGAATTTTTGTGTTGTTTAAAATTCAGTGGCTGTAAAATTGTGAATTTTTTAATTTTAATATGAGTATCATGGATACTTAATGTGATTCATTGATAAAAGAAACATAATTTTATAGAATGATATCTTAGTGAATAATGAAAATAACACTGGTAAAAAAATTCAACATACCACAAACATTTAGTGGATCAATAGATGTTTGAGATCCAATGAATATTTTCACATTATTTAAGAATTTGAATAAAGATGTTGGGTTTACATAAATGAGACTTGTGGTGTACATAAATAAGACATGCGATATATATATAATGAGACAGCAACCTAATAACAAAAATAACCAAAGTCAACCAGAGGGCAACATACAGTCTTCAACAATAGATAACACAGGTGTGTATACAAAATATCAAGCTCTTACTTGTCCTGAGTCTATAAATGTTGTGAATTATTTAAAAAAAAAAACAACCAAAAGATCTGCCATTATCATCTAATTTGCCAAATAGCAAAAAAAAGAACATGAAGTAATGACATACTACAACTACTGTAGAGGTTCCTGTCTTGGGATAGAACTGGATAATGTTAATCCTGTCTTGTAATAGACTGACACCCATAGCTTAATTTCTCAAGTATATGTTAACAATTTGTGTGTCAGAGGACATGGTGACATCTAGACGAAATATTCTGACTCTTTGCCCACCATACTCCGAAATTCAATTAAAATGGTAGAGAAGCAGGAAATTCATATTTAAAAGTCTCTAATGGTAATCATTTTACATTTCAGGGATCAGAGGGTGATGAAGTAATAGAAAGAGCTATAAAAGAACCAAGAAAGTTTGTAGTAAAGCCTCAGAGAGAAGGTGGTGGTATGTATATTTCGACTTCTTGAAATTAAACTCTTTGGACATATCTTAACTAAATAAAAGAAGATGACAGAGAGTTCCAAATAAGAAAAATAAAAAAGGAATAGCTTAATGGTGTTATAACAATAGCTATCTAAATATTAAATACATAATAACTATTTAATCTTGATAATTTTTTTCTTATACATAGATTTTGAATATCATAAAGGTATTCCAATTTTCATTTTTGTCGAGTCGCAGAAAGCTCGACATAGGGATAGTGATCGGGCAGCGGCGGCGTTAACTAACTTCTTAAAAGCTTAATATTTCAGAAGGTAGAAGACCTGGGTGCTTCATACTTTGTATATAGGTGCCTTATGATATGAGGTTTCCGTCTGTTATATTTCCATTGTCCTTGACCTCATTTTCAATGGTTCAGTGACTACTTGAAAAAAAGTTAAGATTTTTTGTAATGTTAATTTCTCTCTTATAATGAGTAATAGGATAACTATATTTGGTATATGCATACCTTACAAGGTCCTCATGCCTGTCAGACAGTTTTCACTTGACCTCGACCTCATTTCATGGATCAGTGAACAAGGTTAAGTTTTCATGGTCAAGTCCATATCTCAGATACTATAAGCAATAGGTATATTATATTTGATGTATGTAATGATTGTAAGGTGTACAAGTCCAACTGGCAGGTGTCATCTGACCATGACCTAATTTTCATGGTTCAGTGGTTAAAGTTAAGTTTTTGTGTTTTGGTCTGTTTTTTCAATACTGTATGCAATAGGTCAACTATATTTGGTGTATGGAAATATTTTACGATGTACATGTCAGTCTGGCAGGTTTAATTTGACCTTGACCTCATTTTCACGGTTCATTGCTCCATGTTAAGTTTTTGTGTTTTGGTCTTGTTTTTCTAATACTGTATGCAATAGGTCAACTTTATTTGGTGTATGGAAATATTTTACTATGTACATGTCAGTTTGGCAGGTTTTATTTGACCTTGACCTCATTTTCACGGTTCATTGCCCAATGTTAAGTTTTTGTGTTTTGGTCTGTTTTTCTAATACTGTGTGCAATAGGTCAACTATATTTGGTGTATGGAAATATTTTTCGATGTGCATTCAGTCTGGCAGGTTTTATTTGACCTTGACCTCATTTTCATGGTTCATTGCTCAATGTTAAGTTTTGTGTTTTGGTCTGTTTTTCTTAAACTTTAAGCAATAGGTCAACTATATTATATTTGGTGTATAATTATTGCAAGGTCTGACATTCACCTCAGTTTCATGGTTCATTGGTCAATGTTCAGTTTTCCTGGTTAACTTTGTTTCTTAAATACTATAAGCAATAGGTCAACTATATTTGATGCATGGAATGATTTTAAGGTGTACATGTCTGTCTGGCAGGTTTTATCTGACCTTGACCTCATTTTCATGGTTCATAGGTCAAAATAAAATTTCCATGGTTTGGACTGTTTCTTTTATATTATAAGCAATAGGTCATCTATATATTTGGTGTATGGAATGATTGTATTAAAGGTGTACATGTATTTCCTGTTTGATTTATCTGACTTTGACCTCATTTTCTTGGATCATAAATGTTAATGTGATACTTATAGTAAAACTTTATATTTAGACTATCAGTATAAAATCAATGGTCAGTATAGTAGGCGAGACATTTCAGCGTGTGCACTCTTGTTGTTTAATTTGTTCTATTCAGTACGAGTAACAAAGATCACATCAATCATAGATGTAAACATTTATCTGTGTTTACCTATTTAGATCTTGAGTAATGCTTCTTGACAACTAAAACTGACGAGAAATGGAAAAATTACACAATTTTAAAATAATTGTTGCTTAAACCCACTTCAACATATCTTTAAATAAAAATGTTAGAGCTTGATAAAAATGTTATCTTGTAGAATGCATCTTTATGAGAGTAGCATAGAAAAACTTGGATAATACACATCATTTAATTTTATGCACATATTGGATAAAAAGTAAGATAACACTTTTATTGGAATGCCTAATGTATGCATTATTATACTTATTATATATGGTTTTTCTTTCAGGAAATAATTTATACGATGAACAAATTCCAGACTTTTTAAAAGAAAATAAAGACTCTGATGAAAGATCTGCATATATTATTATGGAAAGAATTTTCCCATTCGTTCAGAAGAATTATTTAATTAAGAAGGGAGAGGAATTATTATTGAGAAATGTGGTCAATGAAATAGGAATTTATGGAGTTTTAATAGGGTAATTATTTAAATAGTTTTTTTTTTTTAATAATTTGAATTTATTGCATTTAACTTCTGAAATTTAGACATACACACAAGCAAGGGGAAATAATAAGAATAATTTCTTGTATACAATTTCACTGACAGACTTATTGGAGACATCAACAATAAGTTCTGGAAAGGGTGGAGTGTTATGAAGATTGGAAAACAAATTGAGAAGGAAGCCAAAACTAGCTATTTTAAAGGAATATATGTGCATTGCAAGAATAACCTTAGATTTTAACAGATTATACATTTTTTTGTCATCTGTAAAATTCCATAGTATCATTATCCAAGTTAAATTAGGCCATTCAAAATAATGGCTACCAGGCTTGTGATACACCAAACTTGCTGTCCACAAGCAATGGCATTATTGGTCATTAGGGATTATTATAGTTATACTCAGTCTACATTATAACTTCAGTAATTACTTTATGTGTCAATCTGATAAGAATATATACGTAAACTAATGGTTCACCTAATATCCATAAACTCCATAAAAAATTAGGACGGAACAAATGATATTTAATCCACAGCACATATTTTTTGTACAATGTATTATTTTTATTTCAGATCAGAGACAGATATTTTAGAGAATAAAGAAATAGGACATTTAGTGAGAACTAAAAGTGAGGATTCTAATGAGGGAGGGGTTGTTGTTGGATTTTCTGTAATAGATTCACCATATCTTATATCTGATATCAACGAGGGATGGACATTATAATTTCTTTTGATCATCACTTGACCACTGAATGTATTATTGTATACTGTTGTACATCCTATTTTCTGTTAAAGTCATTTTTTTACAATTTAAGTCTTTCTTTGTCATACCAGGATGCCACTTTGATTTATGAAAAGGTGCATTTTTCATAAATGACATATAGTCACTTTTTTCTCATCACTTGGCGTCCGTCGTCTGTCGTCTTCCGTTAACTTTTACAAAAATCTTCTCCTCTGAAACTACTGGGCAAAATTTAACCAAACTTGGCCACAATCATCATTAGGGTATCTTGTTTAAAAAATGTGTCTGATGACCCTGCCTGCCAACCAACATGGCCGACATGGCTAAAAATAGATCAAAGGGGTAAAATGCAGTTTTTGGCTTATATCTTTGAAACTAAAGCATTTAGAGCAAACCTGACATGGGGTAAAATGCTCATAAGGTGGAGATTTGTCTGCCCTGAAATTTTCTGACGAATCAGACAACCCGTTGTTGGGTTGCTCCCCTAAATTGGTAATTTTAAGGAAATTTTGCAGTTTTTGGTTATTATCTTGAATATTATTATAGATAGAAATAAACTATAAACAGCAATAATGTTCAGCAAAGTAAGATCTACAAATAAGTCAACATGACCAAAATTGTCAATTAACCCCTTAAGGAATTATTGCCCTTTATAGTCAATTTTTAACAATTTTTCGTAAATTTTTGTAATCTTCTACAAAAATCTTCTCTGAAACTACTGAGACAAATTTTATCAAACTGAGCCATAATCATCATTAGGGTATCTAGTTTTAAAAATGTGTCTGATGACCCCAGCCTGCCAACCAACATGGCGGACATGGCTAAAAATAGAACATAGGGGTAAAATGCAGTTTTTGGCTTATATCTCTGAAACTGAAGCATTTCGAGCAAATCTGACTGGGTAAAAATGTTCATCAGGTTTAGATCTATCTGCCCTGAAATTTTCAGACAAAAAGACAACCCGTTGTTGGGTTGCTGCACCTGAATTGGTAATTTTAAGGAAATTTAGAAATAAACTGTAAACAACAATAATGTTCAGCAAAGTAAGATCTACAAATAAGTCAACATGACCAAAATTGTCAATTGACCCCTTATAGAGTTATTGCCCTTTATAGTCAATTTTTAACAATTTTTCGTAAATTTTTGTAATATTTTACAAAAATCTCCTCTGAAACTACTGAGACAAATTTTACCAGACTTGGCCATAATCATCATTAGGGTATCTTATTTAAAAAATTTGACCAATGACCCGCCTGCCAACCAACATGGCGGACATGGCTAAAAATAGAACATAGGGGGTAAAATGCAGTTTTTGGCTTATATCTCTGAAACTAAACTGACATTGGAGTAAAAATGTTCATCAGGTTTAAATTTATCTGCCCTGAAATTTTTTGACAAATTAGACAACCCGTTGTTGGGTTGCTGCCCCTGAATTGGTAATTTTAAGGAAATTTTGCAGTTTTTGGTTATTATCTTAAATATTATTATAGACAGAGATAAATTGTAAACAGCAATAATGTTCAGCAAAGTACAATCAACAAATAAGTCTATATGACCAAAATTGTCAATTGACCCCTTAAGGAGTTATTGCCCTTTATAGTCAATTTTTCATAAATTTTTGTTATATTTTACAAAAATCTTCTCCACCTAATCTACTGAGCCAAATAGAATTAAACTTAGCCACAATTTTCAATAGGGTATCTTGATTGAAAAATGTATCCAATGACCCTGTCATCCAACCAACATGGCCGCCATGGCTAAAAATAGAACATAGTTTACAATAGTAGTCTAAGGGAAAATTGTAAAAAAAACAATTTCAAATGGTCACAACTTGAAAACTAATTTAAATAATGATAAGGGTCTTCAGTAACTATTTTAAGAGTAAAATAGGATGACCTGTTTTAAATTTAACTACTGGGCCAAATCAAACCAAACTTGGCCTCAATCATTATTATGGTATCTAATACTATTTATTATGATTTTAACCTTATTTTACATGATTTCCAAAAACACAGTAGATACAGGTGAGCGACACAGGCTCTTGAGAGCCTCTAGTTCATAATATAAGGAATAAACCTTATAATGTATATTTTTTTTTTAATTCAACACTTTCCCCATATATAAATTTGATTCCTTAATTTTCAAGCATTGTTTGAGCCCAAGAAAACATTAGTATTCTATAACTATTCAGAGGCGAGTGTATCATATGCTCTTATAGCAGCTTTTTACTTATATTTAGAATACAAAGAACCAATGTATAATGCGTATTAAACAGATTCTTATATATAATAGTACAAATAGATGAAGGTGAAATTTCACTTATAGGAAATTGTAAGCATAATGCTACCAATCGTTTTTATACGCCCGTTTACGGGACATAATATGGTATACCTCTGTCCGTCCGTCTGTCCGTCGTCAACATGTCGGACATTAACTCAAAAATGCTTTAACCAATTTGCTTAAAACTTTGGTGAATTGTTTATATCTATTGACGTGAGCTCCCTTTCGTTTTTTATAAAATTTAGATTTTATGTTTCCGAGTTATGGGGTTTTATTCATTAAAAAAAGGGGGATTTTCCAGTTTTCGGACAATAAGTCAAGAATGCTTTCACCAACTTGCAAGAAATTGTGGTGAATTGTTTATATCTATTGACATGAGCTCCCTTTCAATTTTTATAAATTTTAAATTTTACGTTTCCGAGTTACAGAGTTTTATTCATAACAAAGGGGGGATTTTCCAGTTTTCGGACAAAAAATCAAAAATGCTTTCAGCAATTCTTATGAAACTTTGGTGAATTGTTTGTATGTATTGATGTAAGCTCCCTTTAGAATTTTATAAATTTTGCATTCTACATTTCTGAGTTATGGGGTTTTATTCATTTAAAAAAGGGGTGATTTTCCAGTTTTCGGACAATAACTCAAAAACGCTGTCACCAATTCTCATGAAACTTTGGTGAATTGTTTATATCTATTGATGTAAGCTCCCTTTTTATTTTCATAAATTTCTGATATGACATTGAGAATTAATTGAACTTTATTTGTTTATAGTCTGACAACAGATTTACTAAGTATTGCACAACAGCAAGAAATCTTTCATTGAATATAAATTCAATTCATATAACCAATTTCAAGATATTTGACTTCATTTATTCAGAAACCTATAATATGTTAAATATTTAATTACAATCCAAATTCAGACCTGAATCAAGCTTGAATATTGTGTCCATTTTTGCCCCAACTGTTCAGGGTTGGACCTCTGCGGGCGTATCTAGCTGCGCTCAGCGAAGCAGTTTATTAAGATTTATCTCAAATTTTGCTTGCTTTTAATGGGTGCTATAACATTAATAAATGTGACATGGCGGGCATGCAGATTTACCCTTTTATATCTGTTTTCATTTACATACATAATTTTATGCCTGTATTTTGTAACGTCTTTTTCTTTTATATCCTTTACTGAGAAATCCATGGTTGTATATAATGGAATTTAATAATACATTATTTTTTTATACAGTTCAATAATTTTTTATAACAATATGGTTGATCTGACCTACATTTCACACTAGAATGACTTCAGTTGTGATTTCAAGCCAATATTTTGTAGTGTTAAAATGATATTACATGACTACAGCACTCTTAGACTCATGATTGTACATCACAATGATCAATGATCAGTAACAGTTTTGATTAAAGGAAACTATTGTGAAAAAAAAAACCTTCAAGATTTACACCAAAATAGCTTTCAATTGTATTTTATATACAAAATGTACTACCGGTATATTCTTGAAAAAAAATCGTCAACAAATCTTTTGGTGAAAACTGTATATACTGCCTTTAGACTGCAGAAAGTGTAAAAAAAAATACAGAGATCAAACAGGAAATAGCTTGAAGGAAGGATTCAGGTGACACTTCAAAGATATTAATACCAAAAATCAAACCAAATCTCACAATAACCACCCACAAAACATTATTGTCAGACTTAGACCTGAAGAAGCATTGATACGTAGATTTGGCAGTACTGTCATGAAATAGAAGTTCCTTCATAATAAAAGTTCCAAATATTTTTTCCACGGAAACAAATATTACAGAATTGTTCCTTACCTAATAAAGGGTATAGAATATTTGTTCCACCTTACGGAATAAAGGATATAGAATATTTGTTCCAACAGGAACAGAAATAATGGCATTGTTTATAACAAAATTTCCAGGGTAACTTCTGTTAAGCGGAACAAATATACGTTTACAGTACATTTTTTTTACCAAGCATAAGGTTTTAAATAAATATTATGGCCAACACAAAGACAGCATCTAGAAAAGAAATATAAGGGAAATTCAAGGAAAGAATTGTCAAAATGCACAAATTCATTTGCTGTATTTCAAATATGAGACTCTACTGCAAAGAAATTTTGTCATTGGTTTAACCATATTTGTGAGCTATTAACACACATAGCAGGTGGGGTTGCTTAAGCTATTTTAAGCACATGCTTTCTGTCATTAAAATGCACATTCCTGTGATGCTTTTTATTCGATATTGTTGTCATGTTTAGCTTACTGTGTTCAGACTTCAGTATATAATGTTATTGTTTATACATATATTTTTATGAATAGATTGGTAATTCCGTAATAAAAGCTTGTGCAATTAATTATTTTTTGTCTCTAAATACTAAATTATAAGATGTTGTAAAATATCTTTCTCTTAGGTCTTGCATCCTTATTATATTTTGGCATCACACAAGGTCATGTTTTCCTCAGACTATTTAGCAAATCTTTACACTAAATCCATTGGATGTATCCTGATTGATGTTTTAGTTGGGGAAAACATGATTTATATAGTATTTGTAATTGGCTTTCAACTAGCTTTGAGTAACTGTGAGTACACTTAGATCAGTTCTGTGTGTCTTTAGTCGTTTTATCAGATGTTTTTGTACTCTGTGTTGATGTGATGAGTCAAACCTTTTCCAGTTGATTTTCTATTGTTTGTTCCTAATGTTGTGCTGTTACACCACTGTCCCATGTAAGCGGAGGGTTTAGGGCTCACAAATAGTTTAACCATGTCACATTGAATTTCTTTATGTGGCTGTCCCAAGTCAGGAGCCTGTAATTCAGTGTTTGCTGTTGGTTGCTTTCCATCATTTTTGTTTTCCATTTATTGTTTTGTACATAAAAATCAGGCCATTTGTTTTTCTTGCTGAATTGTTTTACATTTTCTCATGTCAGGGCCTTTTATATCTTTCTTTGTGGTATGGATTTTGCTCATTGTTGAAGATTGTAAAGTGACCTATTTTGCTTACATTTACATCATTTGGTCACTGGAGGATAGTTGTCTCATTGGCAATCATACCATATTTTAAAAAAAATTTATATGTTTATGTCAATATGGAAGATCCCATTTATTTGTAGACACTTGAATAATCATACACTGAAAATGATAAATGAATATGTGGTGTCAATAATTACTGTTTGTTTGTTCTGCAACCCAAGTAAAAGATAAAGACATGGGTATGACAATTTCAATGCCAAAACATCATTTATATGCTACAGTTTTGTCAGGAAAAGTATTTTTGATTATCTCCTTTTCTCCATGTTCTCAGTTTCTGTCAAAGAAAGATGATTTCAAGAAGTATATTACAAGTCTTTTAGTCTGAACCTTACATATATATATATATGTGTATGTTTGTGTATAATGTTATCCCTTAAACATACTTTGTGCAATTCATGTCTATGTACGTTTATGAAAATGTTGATGACCAAATAATTAAGGTACTTTAAAGAACCATTTTTTTTCTTCCTGAGACAACCAAACTTCTAAATTTCTTATGACACAACCATCATACCAATTGCATTGGAATAATAAATGATTGATTGATTGTTTGTTGCTTAACATCTAGTAGCAATAATTAATGAGCTCCAATTAATACTGGTGAATTTAAATAAAATTGATGTGATGATTTATCTGTAGCTTGTTATATATAAACTGGTTTCAGAAGTGTAAAATATACAAAATTGGTTGTTGTAGAAAATTTTATTCACTACTAGTTCCATTACATAATACAGTATCAAAATGTTTTCTAAATGTAGTATATCATAATCTTTTCCCCAGACCTGATCCACTTGATAACTAGGAAATACAAAATTAAAGCTTGCTAGATGTAGTCCTGTATATGTAATGTTGTTTTCACATGATTTCAAATTCTAGCTGACCATAAAGTAATTCATCTTTCCTGGGTATACAAATTATATGTTCATTTATCAACTGATCACAAAGGAGTATTGACTGCTGATCACTTTAATCTACAGCTTGTTGCTTTGCTGGTTCTGTTGATTCTAGGATATCTGTGTGTGTCTCTGTTCCAGGAATGAGTGCAGGATTCTGTAAATAAATTCAGTAGTAATATTGAGTATAATAACAGGCCAGCATTGATTGATTTAATTGTTTTCATAACACTCAGAGGTAAATATTTTATGCATGTTCAACAGAAGGCAAAAAAAAATAATAAGTTAAAAAAATGCAGAGCACTTCTTCGGTGAAAGTATTATAAAAATTGATTTCTATCATCATGATCATGTATGAAAGAAAATCAATGTATTATACATGTTGTAACTTGGTAAACTTTTCCATTGCATATCAATTCATAGTACTGGTCAGTACTGAAGGTGTAAAGATTGCATTCATTTTTCAGTCGGAACTAAATATTAAATAATGCATTGCATTAAGCATTGGAAGGCAATACTATGAATTGTAGATATATTCCCATGGTGAACAAAGGGAGATAACTCCAATTTCAAATTCTAAAACAAATCATTGATTTTTGAAGAAAAGATACTAGATCTATTCATGCATCATGCATATAGGATGGATAGGATGTATTGAATGTTGTGTTTAATGCTCTATGTTTTTTTTTTATATTAAAAGTAGTGATAAAGTCTTGTGAATTGATAGCTATCAAGCCATCCCCATAAGGGTTTTGGTTACAATCTTTACCCCTAAATGAAATATAATCCTGTTTTTATTATTTTATCCAATAAAGATGGACAGAACAGCCATTATTTGTGATTGACAAATTGATAATTCTACTAACCAACTTTTTACTTCTATTTACCAGCTGTTCATATGTCCAGTAGTGTAACTGTAAAAAAAGCAAAACAATATGGTCACTACAGAGTATGATGCCAACTTTACATTTTAAAACATATCGTGTACATGGAAATTGGTATCATAGGTTTTCAAATACATTTGTACCACCATTATATCTCTGCTGATGGACTATCGGTCCTTGAGTCTACCATCCACCATGTAGCCAGTTCTTAATTCAAATAATACCTTTTGCATGTAAATTTCTGGATGTTTTTACATTTGTAAATAAAGTTATTGTACAAAAATTGTGGTAGCAACTCTATTAAGGAAAGTTGACAGAAAGTCTTAGCAGTTCAATTTAAGCCCTTTTAATTATAATGGGCTCAAATGTATTATATACTTCTTACTTTTGAGGCATTTGTTTCTTTGTATATATATACTTTACATAGTAAAGCGTTTGAAATTCATATAACCAAGGTTTTCAACATTTGATTGGCAGATCTAACTATAAGAATATTAATTTTTTTTCCATAAATGAAAGGAGATGTGGAATATACATCAATGGGACAGCAACCCTATTTTTATGCCCCACTTAGGGGCAGGGCTTCCAAAACGGTCATATATTCCGGACTTGACCGAAACTTTCATAAAAAGACTGGCTGCTCTCAGCCTCAAACGGTCAAATAGAATTGGTGTGCCACATTTTGTTATTCAAGGCATTTTCATGAAACGGTCATTTCAATTTTTAATAACTATCGATCGATAAAAATGTCCGTTTGGGGCTTTGGGCATGTCCGTTTGGGCATTTTAGTTTATAATTGTGGCAATCTATTTCACAAAGATATTTCGGTCATAATTGGGTTTAATAAAACAGAAGCAGCATATTTCAGATACTTTGAAGTGTCTCAGTTAGTCTAATCCTCTGGGTACATAAATGTACGGCTTGGTCTTTAGCTTGTGTACATCAATAAACAGTAGAAAAAACACGTTTTCTTTTATTTAAATAACAACAAGCTGTCAAACAATTATCCCTTCAATAAGTTATATTGAAGCCATAAATCATTCACTGATTACAGGTTTGTTACCTTTGATGAGGTGTCCTTAGCTTATCTTTATCAATAGAATTAATGATGCATAACAATGTACATAAAGGTAATCCGGTAAACGAGGTCAAACATGTAAGCGTGTATGGAACAACATCCTATTTAATTACGCTTTATAGATATTATTTTAAATGAGCATTCAGTTTTAAAAGTATCCTGATATTTAAAAGTTATTCTTCAAATAAGGATATTTATAAATGAATAAGTATGATATATATTATTTTATTTAACACTGTACATCGTGTTAAATACTGGGGTACTCTCAAGGGGAAAATTTACTAAAATATATAGGAAAAACCAATGGACAAATTTCAGTCAATAAATGATTTAACTAAGTTAAATGGTGCCGTGATCACTTCTAAATTATATCAAGAGAACAATGCCTGCTCCGAATTTATTCAGACAATTTCCGATGTTATAGAGAAAGAGGTGATGTCCGACGTAAAGTTAAGTCCCGCCGTGGGAATTATGATCGACTAAGGTGTAGTCTAGGTATTGACGCTTTAGATCAACTTATGAGGATAAGCTTAGTAGGTGTAGATGTTAAAGACTTTGACCCTGTTCCTGCTATCCGCAAATGGCAATCCGTTCGTAACCGCCATGTTTATCAGAACAATGCATTTAGCAAGCTCATGAATGTAAAATCTAAAAAGACTAAATGAACTCTAATCTTGTGCTGTGATCTGTGCTTCTTTTCAATGTGCTCATTGTAATATTTATTGCGTGTGTTTGCCAGCATTGTGCTCTTCTGACATTTTATTGTTGTTATATGCTTACATAAAATATCATGTTGTTATTCATTAAATTATTTATCAACTGAGTATGTTTTTATTTATTCCTTATTTTCTAAATCAGGTTGGGAAATTGTACAAAGAAAAATGTTATCACTGTTCAGTAGATTTTACACGGTTTAAAACAATATCCTTCATCGGGCCTCCTCAATGTTATCTATAAATACCGCATCAGTTGTAAAAGTCACGTGGTCAGGTAATCAATACACAAAAAGAAAAGTATCACGTGTATTGATGATCAAGTTGTACTGCAATTAAAGCCAACATCAACAGTTTCAAATAAGATGGCCTTAATTTACAAAGTGTTAAGTACTCACAGAGAGAAGATAGATTATATAAACAGAAACAAAAACATGAGAACAGTCAGGTACTGAAGCTGATTGATGCAATGATGGTTACTGTATTACGATACACAGAAAAATGACACAATACCGAGGATAATATTTTATTTATTTTTAGAATGAAGAAAACAAAACAGTTATAAATAATTTTATTGCATATAACACTACTAATTATTTAGACACATATATCAATTTATGCATCCTCTCAGTTACATTTAAGTATCCAGCTGATCATTGACCGTCAAAAATATTTCTTTGAAAAATGTCCGGCTGTCGTCAGGAAATTTTGGAAGCCCTGCTTAGGGGCATTATGTTTTTTGGTACGTGCGTTCGTGCATCCGTTCGTCTGTCTGCCCCGCTTCAGGTTAAAGTTTTTGGTTTAAGTTTTTGGTCAAGGTAGTTTTCGATGAAGTTGAAGTCCAATCAACTTGAAACTTAGTACACATGTTCCCTATGATACGATCTTCCTAATTTTAATGCCAAATTAGTTTTTTGACCCCAATTTCAAAGTCCACTGAACTAAGAAAATGATAGTGCGAGTGGGGCATCCGTGTACTATGGGCACATTCTTGTTCAGTATACTTTGATTTGTGGAGGGAAGTCAGTTTTCTCTGTGAGTTGTTTAACAACACAGGTTATATTTATAAATGGGAATTAGAGCGTAAATAAAACAAGTCCAAGGGCAACTGAACACATAATGTCCTATAGAAATAATTATTACAAACACAACAAATATTCCTCAATAGGCAATCTTAGGGTTTGATCTAAATTCTATAAATAGCATTTACCTGAAGCTGTGTAGGCATACCTATGCCTTGAACTCTATACATAGTATTTGATAAACTAGTGTCCAACTTGTGTACCTTTATCAAAATGTAAAAGTTATCATAAAATGTTCAAATTCAAGTTAAAGCATAAAAATGTTTTATAACAAATAATAAAAGAAAAAAAATTAATGCATACATTTATTTTTGCCATTTTGAATAAAACATAATGCAATGATGCCCTAATGGTTAAAGTCCTGTAACTCTAGAACAACAAATCAAATATTTTTTTATATCGGAAGGGAGCTTTCATCAGTCTATCCTGATATTGTATTAAAATTAAGTTATTTACTGACAAAAGGAGGAACCAACTATGGTATACTATAATAAGTTCTGTATACGATGGGCATATAAAGTAATATTCTCATTTCAAATTTCTTGATGGTTTTTTTATACCAAATTTATAGATACTTTTATTTGTCACAATTTTGCAAAAAAAAATCTCACAATATATCATTAATTTAAATTGTTAAAATTAAGTTTTTTTTTACTTTCCCCTCTACCCTATAAATTTCTTTATTTTTAATTTGACTTCACCTTTATGCCAATTTTTTCTTGCTCAAAACCTACATTATTATGTCAGCCTTCCTTCAAAGCAAGTTAACCTATATTATTATGTCAGCCTTCCTTCAAAGCAAGTTAACTCAGAACATTGTAAATTTGTTCCATGTCAACTCATACCACTACAAAGTCATACCTATGCAAAATATATAATTTAATTATTGTTTTTGTCCTAAATTAATTTATGGATTAACCAAAATTAATTACTATAATCTTATTACAGTGTTTTTTAATATTTACATTGCTGTTAATTACCATTCTAATTAACAAATTAAATTTTACATGTATTTTTCATTGTTTTATTGTGTCTACAAATCTTTTTTACCTGTGACTTCATTTAATTTAATCAACTTTTTTTTAATCAAATTATTAATAAAGCATTAAAATAAAACTTACTTTTTTAATTAACTCAATGGTATTTAATAATACATGTTTATTATTTAATTAAGACAACATATCAATTTTTGTACATTTAAATAAGTTGGTATGAGTTTGTCATGGTACTAGTTTATTGTGGTACGACTTTATTTTAGGTGGTACGAACTGACATTGATATGAGTTTACAATGGTACAAGTTAACTATAATTCACTTGCATCATGTGCATAAAAAATTGTGCACTCTCATTATTGATTTTTTTCTGATTAATATGAGTGTGCATATAAACTGACCAACCTATACATCCACAGCTAAATGGATGTGCCACTTTAGCAAGAGTTTTACCACTAGGACTGGAAAATCCAAGGATGACAATATTTTTTCCTCAGTCAATCTTAGGAGTTTATTCTGATTAATATGCATGTGCATAAAGTCATATATTGTCATTAAACTTACTGCTGAAATATCAAATCTATTTAATAATGCTGTTGTAGAAATCATAGGCCCTCGGCTAATATCTATATGCTCTCCGGCTCTGTAAACTGTAACATGATTCAATGACTCAGATTTTGAGGCTATAGATGGTATCTGTTGTAACTTATATTTATTGTCTGTGAACATTTCCTCAGCTTTCTCTATTGTCATATCAAGTCTTTCAAATTTACAATCTTTTTCTTTCAATCTAGAACCTATCTGACTAATACAACGTAACTCTACCTGTAATTATAAATAATCAAAGCACGAAAGCGCTGTAAAGGCAGTTAATTACAGGTTGTGTGTATTTTAAGTCCAGTTATATCATTATCTTGCATAGTACAGTGTTCTTATCAGAGGTGGCTTTCAGTATTTAAGATTTAGAGTTCTCTAATGATATTGAATAAGTTTTATGAATGTCATATTCTGAGCACTACTGTGGATTCATTTATTTTCGTGGGTATCAATTTTCGTGGATTAAGGAAAACTCGCATTTTCGTGGATATTTGATTTCGTGGTTTTGCTTATCTCTGCATACAAAGCCTATAGAAAATTTGTAATTCGTTGAACATTTGAATTCGTGGTTCACTTGTACCAACGAAACCCACGAAAATTGATATCCCACGAATAAAACTGAATCCACAGTATATGAAGGCGATTGTTCTCACTTGTTTATGAACTAGTGCATAATGTCCAGTTTGTACCTTTTTTATCTATGTTTATAGTCAAATTAGTTATCAAAGGTACCAGGATTATAATTTAATACGCCAGACGTGTGTTTCGTCTACATAAGACTCATCAGTGACGTTCAGATCAAAATAGTAACAAAGCCAAACAAGTACAAAGTTGAAGAGCATTGAGGACCCAAAATTCCAAAAAGTTGTGCCAAATACGGCTAAGGAAATCTATTCCTTGGATAAGAAAATCCTTAGTTTTTTCATTGGCAATCATAACACATCTCCTTATTTATATAATGATCTATATTCAACGACCTCAGGTACAAAAAAAATGTATGTAACTAAACTATGATGGGAAACCTTTGACTTCTTTCTTTATATAAACTTTTGATTTGGTACCATAGAACTATGTAGAGTAAATGTACATTGCAACATGTCAACTCTTTCAACTCCAAGCAAAATTATATTTCCAAGCATAAAGTAATTTATGAATGAAATAAAATGCTCCGCTGGGGCGCAGCTTGATACGACCGCAGAGGTCGAACCCTGAACAGTTGGGGCAAGTATGAACACAACATTCAAGCTTGATTCAGCACTGAATTTGGATTGTAATTAAATATTTGACACAGCATAGGTTTCTGACACAGAATGAAAGTGGTCTAAGATACTTAAAAAAATTTAATTTACCTATTCAAACCATATCATTATTATTTGCTTTTATATATAAATCAGAAATAACCAATTTAAAATGGAAAATTTTAAAGAAAAAAAAGGAAAAAGAATCCCCCCCCAAATTTTTTGAACCCCCTTATGATTCATCACCCCAAAACTCAATCCCAGCCTTCCCTTTGTGGTATGGTACCTTGCAGTACAATTTCAGAGAGATCCATACACTTGAACACATGTTATTGTCTGGAAACTAGAAAAATGCTTGTTTTTTGGCCCCTTTTTGGTCCCAAATTCCTAAACGTTTAGGGCAATTACCCCCAAACTCAAACCCAGCTTTCCCTTTGTGATATGGAACCTTGTAGTACAATTTCATAAAGATCCATACACTTACACACAAGTTATTGCCATGAAACTAGAAAAATGCTTGTTTTTTGCCCCTTTTTGGCCCCCAATTCCTAAAATTTGGAGGCAATTACCCCCAAAATCAATCCCAGCATTCCCTTTGTGATATGGAACCATGTGATACAATGTCAGAGAGATCCATAGACTTACACACAAGTTATTGTCATGAAACTAGAAAAATGCTTGTTTTTTGCCCCTTTTTTGCCCCTAATTCCTAAAATTTTGAGGCAATTACCTCCAAAATCAATCCCAGCATTCCCTTTGTGGTATGGTACCTTGCAGTACAATTTCAGAGAGATCCATACACTTGAACACAAGTTATTGTCTGGAAACTAGAAAAATGCTTATTTTTGGCCCCTTATTCCTAAACTTTTTGGGCAATTACCCCCAAACTCAATTCCAGCTTTCCCTTTGTGATATGGAACCTTGTAGTATAATTTCATAAAGATCCATACACTTACACACAAGCTATTGCCATGAAACTAGAAAAATGCTTGTTTTTTGCCCCCTAATTCCTAAAATTTGGAGGCAATTACCCCCAAATTCAATCCCAGCATTCCCTTTGTGATATGGAACCTTGTGATACAATGTCAGAGAGATCCATAGACTTGCACACTCGTTATTGTCATGAAACTAGAAAAATGCTTGTTTTTTGCCCCTTTTTGGCCCCTCATTCCTAAAATTTGGAGGCAATTACCCCCAAAAATCAATCCCAGCATTCCCTTTGTGATATGGAACCTTGTGAGATCCATACACTTACACACAAGTTATGTCTGGAAGTTACAAAAATGCTTATTTTTGGCCCCTAATTCCTTAACTGTTGGTACCATAACCCCCAAAATCAATCCCCTTTCCTTTTGTGGTATTGAACCTTATTTTAAAATTTCATTGAGATCCATTCACTTAAACTAAAGTTAGAGTGCGAAAACTAATATGTCTTCGGATGACAACGCCGGACGACGACGACAACGTCATACCAATATACGACCACAAAATTTTTTTGCAGTCGTATAAAAAGGAGTTCTTAATTAAGAAATAAACTCAGATTCGCTGAGCGCAGCTGGATACACCCGCAGAGGTACTACCCTGAACAGCTGGGGCAAAAATGGACACAATATTCAAGCTTTATACAGGTCTGAATTTGGATTGTAATTAAATATTTGACATATTATAGTTTCTGAATAAATGTAGTCAATGAACTTGAAATCGGTTATATGAATTGAATTTATATTCAATTAAAGATTTCTTGCTGTTGTGCAATACACTGTGCTGTTGTGCAATACTTAATAAATCTGTTGCCAGACTATAAACAAATAAAGTTCAATTTCTTCTCAATGTCATATTTGAAATTTATGAAAATCAATAGGGAGATTACATCAATAGCTACAAAATGTATAAATAATTCACCAAAGTTTCATGTGAACTGCTTAAAGCATTTTTAAGTTGTTGTCCAAAAACTGGAAAATCCCCCCTTTTTTAATGAATAAAACCCCATAACTCAGAAATGTAAAATCTAAAATTTATAAAATTCTAAAGGGAGCTTACGGATTGATAATTTAGTCTTAGATGCAAGATTTTTTTATCAGTTGTTAGTGGCTTTGAACTAGCTGTCAGTAACTGCGAGTACTCTCAGATTTGTACTTAGTGTCTTTTTGTTGTTTGGATGTACAACTACCCGACCACGTCCACTTGTATTTGTATTTATCCATCTGATGAGTTTAGCCTCTTTCAACTGATTTTTATAGTTCTTTCTTATATTGTACTGTTACACCACTGTCCCAGGTTAGGGGGAGGGTTGGGATCCCGCTAACATGTTTAAGCCCGCCACATTCTGTATGTACATGAATGTGTCTGTCCCAAGTCAGGAGCCTATAAAAGTGTAATTCAGTGGTTGTCGTTTGTTTATGTGTTGCATATTTGTTATATTTGTTCATTTTTTTACATAAAATAGGCCGTTAGTTTTCTTGTTTGAATTGATTTACATTGTCATTTCTGGGCCTTTTATAGCTGACTGTGCGGTATGGGCTTTGCTCATTGTTGAAGGCCGTACTGTGACCTATAGCTGTTAATTTCTGTGTCATTTGGTCTCTTGTGCATGTGTGGAGAGTTGTCTCATTGGCAATCATACCACATCTTCTTTTTTATATTTACATCAACAGATATAAAAAATTCACCAAAGTCAAGGTGAGACAACAAAACTTAGTTGTAAGATCTCTGAAATTTTTTACAGGGTACGAGTTTTTCTCATTGTTGGAGATTGTACGGTGACAGTAACACCTGTAACTGCTTAAACCCATTTCTTATGCACTTTAGTTTGATAAACTCACTGAATATCATACCACATCTCCTTATTTTTATATGCATTACAATTTACATGTGCATGTAATTGTAAATATATATATATCAGAACAAAATTCATTGCGTCACTTTTATTTATGCATCCTTTGGCACAATACAAGTTCTAAAATTACACAACATAAAACAACTAAATGTTATTTCAGATGAAAGTTTTGTTTCAGTTCCATTCATAGGATTTATTAGAATTTTGTATGTTTTGCCAAGTCCAATAATTCGCTCTATGTGACATAGAGACATAGTTGACTAAACCACCAGGTGTCAAATATTCAAGAATTTTCAGTGTTTCTGTTTTTATTTGATGAAAAGGTTGCCTGAGCTCTAGGAGCTTTAGGTTTTATCACGGGATATTCTGTGCCGTCAATAATAATCCAAGTTGTAGGAAACTTTAATTTAAAGTTGGATGGTGAAAAATACCTGACTAAACCACTAGATGGCCAAGTGTTAGCCTCACACCACTGTTTAGACATAAAAACAATCCATGTATACACAATATTCTTAACACTAGATTCAATCTAGAATCTAGACAGTTCAAAGTTGGTTGTATGATGCCTCAATTTCATCAAAGTCATAAAAAAACTGATTTTCAACTGACACCCTATCAATTTGAAAATATATGTATCTCAAACAATGTGCTGCTGGACCAAGTGTGGTCAAAACAAATAAAAATTTAGTATACAACTCTAAACCGGTATAAAAATGCATGGCTGTGACACATGTCTTCATTTCAAAATTCTCTGCTGAAAACATAGGCATTGATGGTGTTTGCGTAATTCCATCTGTAAAGCTCAACATTAGCTCGGCAGTTGGTGGTGGACAGTCATAAATCCTTTCTGCAGTATGAATGACTTCTTCAGGAAAACCAACTTTACAATCAAAACTTTCCTTTAGATTTCTACTACAATATTCATCAAGTTTAGTTCTTTTGTTTTCACAGGAAACTGCCCTGATTTTTCTTTTTGCGGACGATTCAGTCTCTTGCTTGGTCCAGGAAAATAGGCTGGGAATTGCAGTAGACTTAAGTCTCTGTATGGTGGGTTTGCGCCCTGAAAAAGGTTATAAAACATTAGATTTTTTATAATTAAATGAACTTCCATTAGCAATGTATACTTTGTACTACCTGGCGAAATATTAACTAGATTTATTCATTAGAATCTGGATAAAACTATGTTTGCCTGATTCAATGTATGTTATGTAAATCCAAAGGACAAACAATGAGAGACTTATGCAACAAACGTACATTGTTTATACCTAAATAACTATAATATAGATGAGAGCATGTCATTGTTTTGTTCCTGTTAACATTGTCATTGATATTTTTCAAGAAAGTCTATGAGGCATAGCTTATGCATTCCTGTCATTACTACATTAGCATAATTACTGCTAAAATAATTCTCAGTATGATATACCTCTTGTAAGAAATCATTATAATTGTAGCAATCACCAAAAAATCTCAAACAGATCACATTGAATCGTAATCCAAAAAATTATGACGTCTTGAATTACCCACCCCCTTTTATTCTAAAACGATAATTGCGGTTGTAAACAGACTTTGGTTTATTCGCATGGAGATTACATATATAACTATATATTTCACAAAGAAAATAGAGTTTTACCATGAATAGTTTCCTGCACGTAGTCTTTTTCAGTAAAACGTGCCTTGCAAACAACAGCTGATTGAGATGGACTCCACGATATCATCGTGTTCTCGTCCAATCTGCGTATGGGCCATGGCGTTGATCCAACTTTTCCTTCTTTTTAAGTCATTTGGAAATGCATGTCCTCCTCTTAAATGACATCCAGGTACACAACAACAAGTACTTGGCATCGTTAATTAAAAATATAACTGAAATAGGTGCACAGTGCAGAAACCGGAAGAAGAGGAACAGGATCCGCTACCACGGCGCCACCTATTCAGGAACGATAATTTGCTACTTTAAAACTGCGAAAATAACGTTAGACGGGTTCACGTGCATAAACAGAAATGCGCTTTAAATTGTATAATATAATTCATGTTCAGTCGACCTTTAATTATTATATCAACGACTGAAATGAGTTATAAACATCTAGATTGCAGATAACACTCGAAATTAACCCGAGCTCTTTCCACACGGAATTCAAATAATTCTAGTTTGTCAATCGGTTGACTGCTTATAATGCAAAATACTAATATATCAAAAGTTTTTAAAACTAACAAAACACAATGATCGTTTCTCTATTTCCCAATGTAAATGAAATGAAACAAAAAACATTTTATATCGCAATAAGAAGAGGAGAGAATTCAACATTTCCGGATCTACTTGGAGTCTAATGAACCCCCACGTAGATAAGTTGGATATCGCGGAAGGAAGGATTAACCCGGCAACTAGAAAGGCATTAAAGCACTGCCTTTAAAAAAAACCAATACATGTACATGCACGATGTTTACTAGCATGTCAGATGAAAGATTTTTCATGAACAACACTAAAATATTCCTTTAAATTTGGTAATATAAAAACGTTTTATTTTGATATTAAAGTTCAATTTTAATTTTTCAAACAACCAAGGGACAACATGGGGTTCTAATAGCTGAAAGTTCCACAATAAAGAAACTATTTTTATCAACTAAAAGGTGCTCTAACATGTATAAAAACTATGAGAATTCTAGTTATTGAAACAGCTTAATGGAAGTTCTACAAATCAGAATTTTAAACATTTACTTAGTAACTAGTTGGATATAGAACATCTGTTTTGTAACTTTTCTCAAATTGGCACCAATGTTTAATATCAAAATATCCAAATCTCAATGCAAAGATTGATAACAAAAATTTCAAAATAATCCACTAGCAGAAATGTTCTATTTTAAAAATGTTAAAGGCAAAAAAACAAATTAACTGTCATTAGGTTTTCTTATTTTCTTGTATTTTCTATCTATTTTTCAAATTTACTTGAGCAAAACTTTTGATGAAACGTTTTACAAATTGACCAAATATCTCAGATTAAATTTGAAATAAAATATACCTACCAAAATTTTTCAGTTTCTTTTCTCTAAATGTAGGTTGATTAATTGTTGGTGTTTTAACGCCACTTTTAAGCACCCCTTTTGGGCTATTTCGTGGCGGCCAGTTTTTATTGGTGGAGGAAGCCGGAGTGCCCGGAGAAAACCACCGACCTTCGATAGGAAAACTGACAATCCTAGTCAATTAAGATTGGAGTCGAGTGCACCTGCACGAGCGGGGTTCGATCTCACAACCTCAGTGTTGACTTGCTAGTGATTACAGTAGTAACTACTTAAACCACTCGGCCACCGAGGCCCCTCAATGTAGGTTAAATACTTACTGATGAAGGTGACCAATCTGACATATCTAAATCTACATCATATACAAAACTGCCACTACGTACTGAAAAAGAAAAATAGGGTTATAAGCTTCATAACTTTTAATATCTCTTTTATCAGTTAGGTACAAGTCTAAATATCTGATTGATTTTGCATCGGATTTGACATGTTTGAATAACAAAAATGTGTTTTATAAAAAAAAAAAAAAAAAAAAATCAGCGACATCGATAGCCCAATCCAAACATATGACATGCTCAGGTGGCTTACCTTTAGAATAATCTATTTGATAATGCAATAGTCATTATAGAACTCAATTAGTGTAACAAATTTCATCAGGTTTGCTCTTTTCGTTATTAGGGCTGATCAATAAAAACATATTGGCACTTTGGGTGTGTGTGAAATATTTTACCCCCAAGTATAAAACAGTTAATAACTTTCCTTCCAAGCTACAGAGAAAGATTTGTTTAGCTGCAAGCAAACATATACTTCTTATGTTAATTTCATAAACTGACTGATTTTTAAACTTATCAAGAGCACAGATTTTAAAATTTGACTAAACCATTGTGTAATAAAATAAACTATATGAACGTTTCATACCATCAGGTTTAGGAAAACTGCAAAGCTGAATATAGAATTCCTCTTTAAATGCAGTTTCTAATACCCCTCCAAGGATGAAAGAACAGGATCTCCAAAAAGCCTACAAAATAAAAGAAAAGGTATAACAAATAAAGTACTGCATTAGTGAATGATAAAATATTTAGTATAAATGACACAGATATTAATCCCATAAAAAGATCCAACTGACTAATATAATTTTTACCTGCGTCAATAACAACGGAAGCAGATATTTTAACTGCTTGACTCCATCTTTCCATCAGATCTTTGGTAGAAAACTTTCTCAAAGTTTTCTTGGCTTCTATGGAAGGGATTGATTTTGTTGGTATATTTGGTCTCAGGCTTGATAATTATGATAATGATGAGTTGTACTTTAAAAGAAATTTTTACATCTACCATGCAGCCACTTCCTATTTGCCAATAGTTTGAATTTTAAAAGACCCATTGTACAAGGAATATTTTTGTCAAAGATTTCTATGCTTCAATGAAAGGGAATGATCAGTTATGCTTATACATGCCACCTCAATCAAGTGCATGCAGTGACGCAGGTCCAAACCTTGTATTAGTCTTGTTTTAACTGAACTTGAAGTAGAACAACTTTTTTTGTTTTTCATTTGCGTAAACCTATCACAAGAGTTGTATAAAAAATGGCAATATAAAGGTAACGTATGCAAGATTTTGTGAAAAAATATTTGACCTTTTACTATGTTTTATATGGAATGCATGATTACAGATTTCTTTCTCAGCTTTAAGCCTTGTGAAGTAGCTTGATTTACAGCTTTCAAAGAATTCTCAAACCAGTACTAGGCACCATCTTCAACTTGAAGTCAGGTGATAATTTTTGCTCAATGACTTTGACTTATAACCCTATTTTAGTGGTCTTAGTAGTTAAACTACTGTATCACTAGCCTGGCAACACTGAGATTGTGAGTTCGAACCCTGCATGTGGCAGGTGTGTTCAACTCTAATCTTAATTGACTACAATCATCAGTTTTCCTGCCTGAGGTCATAGTTCTCTCCAGAGACCCTAGCTTCCTCCACCAATAAAAACTCAACGCCATGAAAAAGCCAAAAGTGTTGAAAGTGGCTTTTTTAAAAAACCTATCATTCATTCATTCATTCCTGGTAATGGAAAATTTGATCTTATTTTTAATAATTTACTAACCTTATTAACCATTCTCGGATCTTCGTCCCTAAAATGTAAGAAAGATAGCTGACAGTCTTCCATTAATGGTCGATGCATATCCCATAGTTTTCCATTCACTAACGCTAACACTGCTTGGTTTCCAATGTGTTCTGTCATATCTGGAAACATAAACAAAACAATTTTTAACTTGAAAATTTGTGACATTTTTGAGTGTGGATTGGCATGGATAGCAGTAGACGCTTATCCTGTCAATGTACCCAATCTTGCTACTTTTGGATTTCATGCAATTCCCTCAGTTTTTGTTTGTTACCATGATTTGTCTCTTCTTTGAACATTGGTAAACTATTGTAACCTTTATTTGTTCTACAATTTGTTCATTTGTTCTCAAGTGATCAAAATAATAGCACTTCAATTTTTTGCCAATTACAATTATCATGATTATTAAATAAATGTACATTTTAAATTGAAAATTTCCCTCCCCTGTCATTTTCCTTCATGGTTATTTGGTGAAGATTTTGTCTTGAATGCCAGGTTTAAAGTTTTTGATTCCAAGCTTTGTCAAAGCAGAGACTTCAAACTTGGCTATAAGGTGCTTTTATTGAAAAGTGCACGTTATTTAGAAGTGTGAGCAAAGACAGAATCGCTAATGTATTAGAATAATATTTCAGGTTGATGTGACACATCTTAAGATGACGGCTGAAGTCTGGATTGTTTTATCATTATTTGCAAAAACGATCCATTAAAAATGTTCACAATAGCCTTTTTTTTCAAAATAAGAGATAACTCAAGCCGACATGGATGGACTACTCACTGTTGACAAAAAAAAATTGACACAAAAATATGGAGTATCATATAGCATGTATAGTAAGCATGCTAAATAGAAATTTATATATCTGTGGTTTTTATCATTATCAGTATTGACAAATTTATCTTTTTAACAAAGACAAGCTTGAATTATCTCCCCATGACCATTTGTTTTCATAACTTATAATTTCGTGCACTCTTGGTAACCATGGTAACTGAACAATAAATTTTAATTGGTAAAAATTTTTTTTTTTTTTTTTTAACAAATTGTATGTGAACATAATATTCTAACCATGTTAACTGTTTTGTCAGGTTGATTTCAATTCCATAATATTAATTGCTATTTTCACATGTTAAACATTATATAATTAACTGTCATGACTGTAGAAACAAGGTTAAGACAAAATGTACTTATGTAATTTTTAAATAAGTATTCCTTTTCTAATATTTTTTAAGATCATTGCTTTGTAAGAATACTTATAGTAAAATATACATGTAAGCATGGAAATTAATCAAATAAATACTCACGCATAGCACAGTTATATGGAGTAGATATGCCTTTGTTCATAATTAGTGTACATGATTCAGGCAAGCCAGTATATTGCACTTCCACTTTTTCAATTCGTTCATATAATGATAATTGTCTCTGTTTTTCTGCTTCAAATAAATCATTTCTTTTTCTTCTGACTTCAGCATTTGATAGCTTTCTTGAAGAAAAAAATCCTGTTTGAAAAATAAAATAAGTTCTTTATTTGATTTCATTGACCATGTTTTGACTGGAAATATTGCAGATTCATTTATATTTCAGGGGTTAAAAAATCCACTAGCCCGACGCCCGGGACTAGACTTTTACACTTCGGGCAATTAAAACTTGTAACCGAATATGCCCGACGGACTAGTAACAAACAATTCTTGGCATTTCCAAAATTGTATGTGGAAAATCCCCTCATCACTATTCTATCTTAGCCAATCAGATTCAATTACGTACGTCATCCGGGATTCCAAGAATTTGAACCGATTTTGTACATGTTTTAAAAATAGAACAACTAACTCTGGGTGGACCGGTATCATGTATTGATCGCAATTCACGTACTTTCAATATCAATTTCTCAGTACAGGGGGTATTGTATATTGCTTATGCCGAGATTTTCAATTAATGGTACTTGGGTGTATGATGTAATGATCGATATTGACCTGTCTTGTCGGACAGCTGTTAATTTGAGCTTGAAACCATGCACAAATTATTTCTAAACATTTTAGTACGGCCACCACAGGAACTTTGTCAGTTTCAAAACGAAAAACGGTAGATGAAGGGGGTAATGAGGCTGAAAATTTATCCCAAAAAATGCCAAATACGACCAGGAAAAGCGGAAAAAAACATTTATAGTGTCATGGACAGAAAGATTCCCCATGGGCAAGGTCGACTGTTACTGATGATAAACAAGAGATGATGTTTTGTGAATATTGCCGTTATTTTCCCGATCACGCTGATAAAAGTCTGCTTTGTATGTGGGAACAACAAATATACGAATTGAACCACTGGTTTAACATGACAATATCAATGAACATGTTTTCTGTGCCTGAAAATATTTAACAACCCATAGTACAAGGGATATCCAAAAAGATGTCTAGAGATCCTTGTTATAATTAATAAAACAAAAATTTATTTGATTTATTTTATCAAATACCGTGTATAATGCCGCATTCAAAACAAGGGACACCCACTCTAAATTTGAAAGGTATACTCGGGCTAGCAGGTCAGTTTTGATGGGCTAGCAGCTCTTTCAACAGGGCTAGTAAAATCCTGCTACCAATAAGTCCTGGGCTAGTGAGCTGTAACACATTTTTTTAACCCCTGTATTTTAGAATGGTATTTTCATGTATTGAGTAAAAAGTTTTATTGTCCTTGATACTTGATTTTGTTATTTTTACCAACGTGAGTGATTTTGAAATAGGATGTGTGATCAACAAAATAAAACTTGCCAATGTAACCCTTGTTGGTGAGTGACTTAATTTGAGAAAGAACCTTATGATCATGTTGCAGTCATTTTTAGTGTGTCCATCAAAAGACAATATCAGCACTTTATAAATATTTTTTTGATAGAGCTTTCCAAAATGAAATGACAAACAAAACAAACAAAAGCAAAAAGCTGTGACATGCCTAAATGGATAACCCCGCTGGACTTTTTAACTTTTTTGATTCAAGCCTTTCTGATGACTCTTTTGTAGACGAAAATGAAAAAAGGCGTACAAAATTATAATCCTAGTATCTTATGAGTTTTTTTGGGAACTATTTTTGTTATATGATTCAGATACCAATGAACCTAACGAGTGATAATGAACTACATGACAATGTATGAACAAAATTTGTTTGACATACTTATGAAAGGGAGGTGTGAATTTTCTATTTTAAAAAAAAGATGTCCAGGTCTCTAATGGAAAGTTGTCTCATTGCCAATAATATATATGACATCTCCTTTCTTTTTTTTAAATTTACTGTTTCAAGATTATTTTTTTGGGAAAATGTTGATTTTAAGATGGTATATAAGAACATATTAAACATAAAAAAAACAATGCAGCTTAGGCTTGAGGGTCAAGAAAAAACAAAATAAAATTGAATGAATACATCTTTATACCAGAGAACTATAAAAATGTAGCACTGAACCAATAATTTGAATAAAGAATATCATGTCTAATTTTAGTATTTTATCCTTTGAACAGTTACTTGTACATGTACGTGTGAATTAAATTCTCAAAAAACAAAATTCACGCAATAGTCTTTTAATCAAATAGTAACCCAAAACTGAAGGGGGGTGGAACTCAAACTTGGCAAATTGTTCCAATACATGTACATTACTCGCCCAATTTGGCAAATAGTGAAAGAAATCCACTTTGACAAGTTGTAATCAAAATTAAAGGTATTTGTACTTACATGACTTGTGTATATAATTGATAATTCTTACGTAAACATTTGTTTGTATTGCAATAACACCATCATGACCATGTAAAAATAAAGTTGAGAAAAACAACTAATGCTATTTAAAATACTAATTTAAATGGACTGTGTACTCTTTCACAGGATAACAGGTTGAGCACAACCCACTAATTGAGTAATAATCCATGTAATTTAACAAAAGGTAAATGATTTCTTTTAGTCGATTCTTTCTCCTCAAAATGAACCTAGGAACAATATCATTATTTTGAATTCAAAAACAGTTAGTTCCCTTTAAAATTGTCAATTTTTAGAAGTTTTCATTATATGCTTGAAACTTCTTAATAAATTAGATATTTTGAAATAGTTGATGCATTTTTCATGAATTTAATATATGATTTATTTCAAGTTTCCAAAAATGTCGATTAAAAAAAGATTTTAAGCACCAGAGAAATTTCCCTTATTTTTTAGGGTTTTATGAGTTTTGTTTGTCCAGTCATGCCAGTTAGGTTTTGTTGTTTTGTTTAAACTGTTCTTTGATAGCAGCTTATGGAACAATTTATCTTTTTTCCCAGGTGTTTTTGTACCCCAGATACAAAGTGTTTCTGAAACAATGCAGATGGTTCTTAATCATGTTAATTCCCTCGATAAAATGAAGTTTTGAAACGTCATATATTTTGGTGATCCAAAGATCAAATGTTTATTGGATAAGGTTGATTGAAAATGATGACTGTTAACTTGTACTAATTCGAGGGTCACATGCCAAGTTGCACAAGCTGATTAAAAGAGTCATTTAACTTCAAAATCATAATATCAATTGGGCCAAAAAAATTATTTGTCTGTTTACGGTTACCTGACCGACCCTACTTTTGAGCACCGACCCTAAGTCATTTTATTTCCGTCGTAAAGTCAGTGTTGCCAATAATATAAATCAATTGCCTGATACATCCCAATGTTCACAATCGTGAATATGACAGCAGTTTTAAGGAAATTCGCGACTCGTAAGATGAACTAAACACTTTGCCGCCATTTTTTTCCCCAACCAATAACCAAGGGAAATAATCCAATCATTTAAAGAACAGGTAAAATCGGCCCATGATCAACTCGGACCACGACAAGACAAAACCGCACGACTCAAAATCATGTCACAAAAAATAAAATGGAAATACCGACATACCTACCCTATTTTTTTAAAGTTTGTAACCTTACACAGACATATATTTGTTTTTGGCCTTGATACCAAACTTTATATTTATTGTTCATATGCTTATATCTTTTTATATCTATGTTCTTAGTGCTCCTAAAACACAATTTTAATGTCTTTAGTGCAAAAACTGTGTCACTTTTGCACTAAGAAGTCCTGTGGTATTTCGACACACCTAAAACATTGGTAGATGGTGGAAATTGTTTTAACTTTATTCCTTTTACATTATTCAGTGTATATAGTTTATTTAAAACCAGAAGCAATACAGCTTATAGGTATATCATAAATATATGTACTCATACCACATCTTCCTATATCTATGTATATCATAACAGAATATATAATATTAAAATGAATGATAATGGTCAAATGGTATGTTTTATTAACTACTAAAGTGAGTAATTACTAATGTTAATTAGCTCTAGGGGTAATGCTATTGCATACTTTAGAAAAATATAAAAATGTTTGATCTTTTACAGGAAAATATAATTAGATGTGACTTGATTACCTTGGCATACAATTACCTATGGCTAACAGGTGTCAAAGTTTAAATTACTATAACAACAACCCTCTAAAAATAATTGTAAACATTACAGAAAATGTAATAAAAGGGATTTTGGAATACTGCTTAAAACTTTTAGTTTTTCCATTACTTTTCAACATCATGATTAAAATCTTTTAAATCCAGAAAATGGAAAGTTTGAAGACCTTATCAGTCAGGGGACTTAATGAAATAAGTGATTTTTAAATCACTTATTTAAGTAGCAAATTCAAAGTTTTGTCACAAATTGTGATTTTTTAGTTTTACCAAAATTTTAAACACATAGGTTTAGATAATATCTTTTCATTAGTAAAATTGGAAAAAATTAACTTTTTGCTTCTTTTTAGCAGCAAGGTTTGTGCCTTTGATGAAATCATTTAGCTGCAAATTCTATTTTAGTTGAAAAAATGCTATAAAAATGGCTTTACATAATGAACTGTTACTTTCTTAACAGATTTTTCCCAGCAGTGGGAGTATTTTTCCTGTAAAATTCAAGGTTTCATCTTATAGATTATGTAATTTAATTTTACTGTTCGCTATCAAAATTTCACTGTTCGGGGTGTTGAAATTAGTGGGGGTTATTAAAATAATGATACTTAAAGAAGTGATTTTTTGGAAGGAAATTGAGGTATGATACTTAAACAAGTGATTTTTATGTCATTATCCTAGATTTAGTACAAGGTCATCACCTGACATGACCCAGTCATCCTATCAACACAGATGTTGTTTCTGATAATTTTAGCAACGTAATTAGTCCCTGGATCATTAGTATTCTATACTTAAAGCTACAATAAATTAAATCACTTAGTCTAGTGATTAATTTGTACTACTTAAATAGGTGATTATTAAAGAAAGACAACTCTTACTTCCAACCTTTATGGACATAATGTTACTTGAATCAGTGATTTAAAAAATCACACTGATTTAAAAAATCACTCATTTAAGTAAGTCTCCTGAATGCTTATGGCTTCTGTATTTATCTTCTATATTGTTAGTCCATTCTAATATAATCACTGTCCACTATGTATCCATGCAGAATTTCAATTAATATAATAAAAGACGAGCTATAGTATAGAAAAAAAGTATAATCATGATAATATTGTCTTTAACCCGTTAAATTTTGTATTTTTGTAAAGGCCATTTTTGTATTGATCTTTTTTTTTTTTAAATGACTACATAAATTAACAATGTATCCCAAAATGTGCAAAACTTGTATTCTGCCTATACCTGTATACAACCTTACACTAAAGTTACAGGACTATTTCAGAAAAGGAAGAAATTATGGTTTTCATCCTCTGAATGTCTTATCTGTATAAAATGTGTAAAAATAAGCATCAGAAATTTTATTGCCCAGAAGTTCCCATTTCTTGGGGTATTGTCCAGCAAAGAAAGTTCAGGGATTAATTTGATAACCCTGTTCTTACTTGACCTGTTGACGGGTAATTTGTCTTTTGTAATCTTTTCCCTATTTTGTGCTGAGGGGTTGCATAAATGTCACATGAATTCTCCAATATGCTGAGGGCATATATCGAGTACAGTGCTATATGAAAATAAAGTATGTGACATTGAAAAATTACGTTTATGAGCTATCGGAAAGTTCCTAAAACAGAGACAGGTTAATTTTCGTGCATGCATTTTCAAGGTAGATAATCTGTTATCGATCAATGTCAATATTTTTCTTGGTTTTTCGTATCTTATGAATCACTTGAAAAGCGCAACGGCGACTGTGAAATATTACCTTCTCTTGATTAGTACGCCCTCTGTTTAGAGTTTCCATAACTACACGTTGTAAATACATGTCTGCTGCTTGTTTATGCATTAACTGTTTCTAGTACTTTACAACAAAATATCAACATGGTAAGTAATGAAAACACTTGCAGTTTTGTGAAATCAACACATGGTATCATAATGATCTATTCAACTTATTGAAATGTCCTCGTTATTTTTACAATATTATAATATACAAGTTGACATGATCATACATTTGTATATATATCAATGTCGGCAAATCAAGTACGGTCATCCTTTCGACTGGGAGCTTTTTAAACAAATCTAATTGCTACATTTGATGATATGTCTGAAGTTTGCAGTCAGCTACATTTACCATCAATATTTTGTTTTATAATCAAGCATTTGACCTAGATCTGGCATCTTTATGAATCATATTGCCATTATTGGTGCCTCCATTAATATGATCTGGAGTACCAGTGTACCACTAGTTTTTGTAGTATAATATAGGTTGACAACTCTGTGCATGTGTAGGAAAAATTACAGTAATAATATAGGTGCACAAACAATGATAATAATTAAAGCCTATGAATCAAAAGTTTCCAATTTCGATTTTATGAATGAACTACTGCAGTTGACCATGGATCATTCAGGGAAAACGCGTTGTGGGGCATTGTGACATGAAGATATTAGTTGGAAGACCATGTACATGTATTTACATAAAGTCATTATAATTCCATATATATAATCGTCACAGTTTTATATTTAAAATGCATACAAAGACCTTGAATGCATCATGTACCATCGACTAGTATTCAATGACCATACATGATGCATCCTTGTCATCAAGTGGTTTCTTGTAAATTTCCTGTTTTCGTTTTAACTAACAATATATTAACAATATACATGATATATATGAACAAATTTCAAAATTTAATTTTTTTACCATTTTTAGCCTGGCAGCGCAATATCAGCTGTTGGGAGCCATTCTTCGGCCTCCTCAGCATCAAGACGTGCAAAAACAAAGAATTACAGAGTAGTTAGCAACACATCACAAGTCGATGAAAATTTATTTGGAAAACCAACCCATGTTGAGAAAAGACAAGAGATGTTAGAACAGAAATGGACAAATGATGATCTATCAATCGAACAGCTAGCCAGGGATAGAAGTGCAAAACGTAAAAGTAAAGGAAAGAAAAACAAAAACAAAGAAACAGTCCAAGTCATCACAAAAGATTTGATTAGAAATTTAATGTAAGTGTAAGCCACATAATAATATTTATTAGAATGAGGCCTCTCATCCAGTCATCATAATATAATTTGCTTTCAATTTTTCTCTCTTTATTTTCCATGAAGTAAGTTGAGAATCTAAATAAAAATGAAGTCTGTGTTTCTTTTGATTTAAATCACTCATCAGATGAAAGTAAAGTCTGAAAATCAGTGAGTCTGACATATGTCACAAAATTTTAATTTGTTAGACATGTTTTTAATAATTAATTTATGATATAAATTTTTAAAGCAAGCGCTCAATTTCTGTTCAGGCCCCTCGGTCATAAAACTTAACTCAGTACTCAGAGTACAAAATTTGTGCTCGAAACACCAAATCCAGTATTTTGATTGGTTGATTTTTGAGTCTGAGTACGATAATCGTACTCGAAAGTTTTATGACCGCAAGGCCAGGTCATAAACATACATTGTAATTGTCCTATGCAGCCTGTAATTGAGGATTGTATTGTGTACACATTCAATTGCAGTGCTGACACAGAAAGATACTTTGTCTATATTTTCAAAAATGTTTTTTATTATAGATATTTTAACTAATTCAGTCTCTCTCCTTCAATATCTTAACCATTTAGACTTCATAAACACCTTATATCCCACATATAATAATGAATCAACAGTTATCAGTTTTAATAAATGTGACTGATTTACCATGTTCATGTTGTTCAATGTGAAAAGATAGACATTGAAGAAGGCCATGCAGTGACTAAAATGAATTAAAGCTACAGTAATAATATAATATAACAAATGTTACCTTTGAGATTTTTTTTGCACAAAAAAGAAACAATGACTGCAAATGAACACCAATAAAAACTGACCACCTCTTGATAACTCAATAGTGATGAAAGTGATGTTAAACACCAATCAATCAATCAATGGATATTTTTCAGAGTTCCAACAGAAGATCCATCAGGACAGAGTATTGTACTACCAAGATATGAATTTCATAGAATTGTTAACTGTGCTCAAACCTTAACCAAAGAACAAAGGTTGGCACAACTTGAACAAATCAAGAGAGAGAAAGAGGCAGCTATGGTAAATTATATTTCACATACTCTTCTTGTAAAGTGTGTTGCATGTGAAGACGTATATATGCCAAATCTAATGGGCCCCAATATTACAGATTGCATGAGACTCTGTATAGTATAAGTTATAATTCTTTGCTATTACATGTGTTTTTATGTTGGATTGTTTGGTGGTATTTGTTTTTTTTTCTGTTCTTGTCTAGTACTAATCTGTTGAGTTTGAGTTTCTATCTTTTGATTTTTTAAAATTACAAAAGTTGCATGAGGAACAATCACAGAAATTTAATAGAAATAATTTTATAGACCTTTGATAATTTCTTGGAAAAATTGTTTATTTTTAACATGAGTTTAAACTGGCTTTAGGTAACAATGAGTTCTGTTCAATTGATATTTAATGTGTTTTGTGTCTTTTTGTTATTGTTTTTTTTTTGTGCTTCTAAGCAATATTGATTTTAATACCTGAAAGATTGTTTAATAGCTCTAGAGGTAAAATTCATATTGAACTGACCACTTCCAAGAAAATTTTCTAACAGTTAACTTACCTTAATTAAGGTCTTATATCTTTTTTCATAACAGGAAGCTAGTCAACAACGTAAAGCTTTATTCAAGCAGCTTGACATGGACAGGAGGAAAAATGAAAAACTGAATGACCTTGAAGAAGAGGCAAAAGAAAATGCCGAACATTTATTATCTAAGGCCAATGAAATGAGACAAGAACAAGAAGATGAAATTAAACATCTAAATGAGGTACATATTGTGTTAAAAAGATTGATTTTGATATTTTTTCATACTTGAATGTTGTAATTTTCACAAAAAGATAAGGATAGCTGAATATATGTAAAAAAATTAATTGTCTGCAGACCTGAGAAGAATAGTTGCACACAAATGATAAACAAATTGTGGATTCTCTTGCAGTCTACAAACTCATCCCAGAAATCAGACCCAAAAGAGTTCATTTGAACAAATCTTTAATTATTAATTGTACTTTTTGCTAATTTATCAGGTCCTCGAGGAACATGCAGATGTTTTCTCAATTCTATAGCCTGACATTGACATCAGTTAAAATAGTGTAAGTTTCTGATTTTAACCTGTGAAAAATTATAATGTTTACTTATCAACAACCCTTTTTATTACTTCTTTTTTCAGCTAATTTTGAATGCTAAATGCCATGCAATTAGAGATGCACAAATACTAGAAAAGAGGCAGATTTCAGGTGAAATGACTGAGGAAGAGAAAAGGTTGGATGTGATGATGGAGGTTGATCGACAGAATGCCATCAAAATACAAGAAGAAATTGAGAAACGAAGGAAAGAAGAGAGATTAATGGGTGCTGCCAAATTATTAGACCAAATTCAAGAAAATGAACAAGAGAGACTTTTTGATCTGGAACGTAAAGACCAGGAAAATATTCAGATGCAGAAATACATAGAAAAAATGATGGATGAAGACAGAGTTGGTTTAGAAAAGAAGAAAGTAGAACAGACACAGCTTAGGGTTGGTATAAGTATTCAAATACTTTGACTTAAATATATTTGATTAACAGAACTTACAAGGTGATTTTGTTAAATTAGCATTTATTTTTTAACAGGTTAAACAGACTTATCAACTAAGTTTGGTAAGGGTTTATTTTTAAGAAAGAAGCATGTTTTGTAGAAAAAACGCTCGATCTAGGAGTAGATCCAACATTATTGTTTACACATACACATGGCATCTTGAATGCTACATCTATTTTTTATGATGTTTTTCTTCTTTATTTTTAACAGGAAGATTTGAACAAGGCTAATGCAGATCAATTGAAACGAAAAGTCATAAAGCAAGAACAAGAGAAAGTGGAAGAACAGAAAGTAATCGAGTACATGAAACAGAAAGCAGTAAGTTGGATACTATAGATGTTTAATATTTTGTTGCATCTTGCTTTTTGTCAATTTGCATGTTATAGCATGTACACAGGTATCTGATATGTGGTAGTGAAATGTTAAAAGAACATATATTTAGCTAGTTGTGGATATCATTTTTTGTCATTTTCATATTCTAAGAAAACTGAAATCACTTTTGATTAGGCTGTTGTGGGTAAATGGGTTGGAAATATAAATTAGATGTGGTAGGAGTGCCATTGAGACAACTGTCCATCCGAGTCACAATGTGTAAAAAGTAAACAGTTATAGGTCAAAGTACGGCCTTCAACACAGAGCCTTGGCTCACACCGATCAACAAGCTATAAAGGGAAGACTGAATTACTCATGAGTTTTACATTACTATGGGCTTCATTATTTTTCATGTGAAACCAATTTTTATGGATTTTGTGTGTGATTAGGTGAAGTAAAATTTAAATGTTCAAGGAATTACAAATTTTTTAATGGCTTGTATATATGCCGGCTTTGACAAACCAAAAAATCAAACATCCACAAAAAGGCAAGTTTTTTGTTTTAAACCACAAAAATACAAGAATCCACAGTATAAGATTGTAAGTTATACAAGAGCTCATGTTTTAACCATTTAATTATAGTCTGTTTATAGTAAGTAATTTTTATTTTAATAATCTCCCTTGAAATTTGAACATTGAATGTGGTAATTTTACAAAAATGTATTGATTATTAGGAAAGAGAAGCTGCCTATGAGAAAGAACAGGAAAGGATCAGAGTGGAAAAAGAAAGGGAAACTGCAAGATTACGAGCCATGCAAGAAAGAGCACGGGATGAGCAAGCAGAACGGGATGCTCTCAGAGCTAAACGTGCACAAGAAAAGACAGAAAGAGAGTGGCGTAAAAAAGAAGCAGAGGAAACAAAGAAGAAGGCAGTAACAGAAGCTATGTTGATCCAGGCCAGATCCAATCAGATGTCACAGAAAGAACATTTCATGGCAGTTCAAGCCCAGAGGGAAAGAGCTGAATTTGAAAGGGTTCTTAGGTTTGTGTAATTTAACTTCTATGTGTAAAATTTATCATTTTATGACTGCGGTAGTATGGGACAAATTCACACAGTGGGCAAATTAATAGGATAGGTAGTTCAGTGAAAATAAAAAAACAAAAATTAGGGAATATATTAAGTTATTGGAGACAACATGTATCCTGGATTGATACAAAAATAGGGCAATTTACCGTTGCATCTTTTATTATAAAAAGATAATATAAGGAAAAAAACAGGCAGTAGGATCAAAGCACTAGTTCTAAATGAAAAATACTAATATACAAAGATTAGTAACCCATTAAAAAACAAATAAGTATAATGTTATTGATTAATATTTTTGAGTTTAAAAATAAAATGTTTCCAGCAATGAAACTTAATCGATCATTTTTAAGAAATATGAACATTTTTATTTATTTATTAAGGGCACAAAAAGAATTGGTTGAAAAAGAACGACGGGAAGAACAAGAGGCCACTAAGAAGCGTCATACTCATGCTGATGATGTCAGAACCCAGATTCGCCAGAAAGAGGCTCTTAGGGTAATGGAAAGAAACCAGTTCTTCGAAGAAGGAGTCAAGCTTGACGAGGAGGCAAGACATCGTAGACTGAAACTGGAAGATGTTAAAAAGAAGAAATTGAATGAATTAAGGTATTTACTCAAATATATGGTCTTGGAAATGATTTACTTACATACATGTTGGTTATGTAAATTTATAAGTATTCTACATGTAGCTATTAGTCAAAACATTGCTTATATACATATCTATTTCTATAGTATCTACCAAAATTAATTTTAAACCTCTTTAATGTTTTTACTAATAATATTTATATGAAATTTTAAATAAAATATCTTTCATATTGATATACTGTCATGAGAGACTCCCCTTTTGTCTGTGATCTCAAAATTCAGTTGGTCTCTAAAACTGACTTAGTCTATTTAAATTTTTTTTAAAAGTATAGTGACTGTATTGCGTTCACTTCCAAATAAGGAGTTCTCTCTTGGCATGTTCCACTGTATATGAAAGTAGTTCCCGCTTTGGTGATTTTAAAAAAAATATATAGCTTGTACTGTAGAATATAGATTCGATTGCACATATTGCTTTCAGTTGTAAATAAAATTGGTTAAAAAGTATCTTATTTTTGAACTCTGATAATCTGTTTGCAAAAATATGTAATTAAGATATAACTTACATGAATTAAATGAAAACTACTCATAGAGGAGTAAAGATCTAGAATTTAAAACTAGAAAATTATGTGGTATGGAAAAACTGAGCCATGAAAGAAAAAGACTAGTCTTACTATGCTCATGCAGAGATCACAGAAGTAATTCTTAAAGAGTTTTGGATGTTCCCTTAATGTTTGTTTAATTTTGCTGAAATAGGGCATGTACATATATTTTCACTTAAGAGCCTGCATGAATTGCCTCTTAACAACTATGTGAATGATTAAAAACAGATTAAACATATTTTTATCAAAAAGGGTTTATAATTGTTATGTGAAAATTATGATGTGTAATGATTTCCGTTACTTTTCATTAGGAAAGTTCAAATGTATTTAAATTTGATTTTATCATTGTAAAATACAGAGCTGCTGGAATACCGGAGAGATATGTATCGCACGTTGCACACAAAGTCAATGTGGTTACAACTGCATGTAAGAACAAATGTGTGGCTATGTAAATTATTTCAGGGGTTGACATTCACTTCTTGATAAGAAATTGTTTGGTTATTGAAACTTGTTCAACTTTATTAATTAGGATTACTGTAAACCAAATTACTTTAGTAATCAATTTATTTACGTGACTAAACATGAATATAAATTTTGCAGACATGTCAGTCTTTGATTTTCTCTAATAATATATTAAATACATCAAAGACAAAGTTGGGAAATGTAAAAAAAACACGAAAAATAAGTTGGTTTACAGTCTTTTATAGAAATGATTAAAATTTACTGACAGGAAGGGGAATGTACATTAAGAAAAAAAATTCTGTTGGTCACAGGTTGCAATGAAACAGTAGTTTTTACTTAGATGGAATGACCGTCTGAAGGATAACTCACAAGTATCAAAGTTAAATCTCCTTTTACATGCAGGACATTAGTTTCCTAATCAAACAATTTAATTCAAACGACTTAATGAACAAACATTAATAGAATAAATGAATGACACTTTTCACTAAAAGTCTTTTTCAGGATGTCAAAACTATTCAATGAGTGTCAAATTAAAGAAAAAAAAATTCAATTCAATCATTCTATATATTTCATTGCGATATGCACATTACATTATAGGTTACATATTTCTCTTTCAATTTATATGTTTGTGTTTGTTCATAAAAGATTGTCATTAAGATACGAGTAAATGCAGTGCTAATAGTGCTAACTTAAACCTGGGATTAAGTGTGTGGCTTTACAATAATGTATGCTGGTTTGAATCACTGCATCCCATTTTTCCCCTCATGTTGCTATAATATAATTCTGTGTCATAATGTTTGATCATTGATTAATTAAATCAGAATTTTCTAACAGCAGGGTTCAAAGATTTGGGGTTTATGACTTCTTAACTTAAGTTACATTCACTTAGCACAGCAATGTATATGTTGGCTTTTATGCACCTATTCGAGAAAAAAAGGGGACATGAGTGCCATTAACTCATAACAAGCCCTGTTCAATACAGAAATAACATTGTCTGCAAATGTCCAGTTGATTGTTTCTTTTCAAAAAAATCTTTTAAAATGAGAATAAAGTCAATCATTGTTAGAATTTAATGCACAAAACATGAGGTTACTTTTTAAATTTTGAGAAACTTTCTTTGGGTAAAAAGACTAATTGAATTTAATTAGTTTTTACTGTTTCAGGACATATTTTTTGGGAGGGGGGGGGGGGGAATTAAAAAAAATTAGGATTGTAAATACAGCACCGAATTTTGTTATTAATTTATGAAAAGGTATTTTCAAACTCCAAAGTTTTATTTTTATTCGACAGCACTTCATCCATTGTTTGTAGGTCACTGTCATCCATGTTTAAATTAAAACCAATAGTGTATTTTTTTATACCTAAAATGCATATGAATATGTAAACAAAATATTAAAGTACGTTTATGTTAAAGATGTGTTGCTGAAAATATTTTATTACTAATATATTATATATATATCTATTCACAGAATTTAAAAATTGTTAGTAATATTCATTTCGATTTCAAATAAATAAATGATAATTTGAAGAAAATATTGGTAAACCAATACTTATTTTAATTTTGTTGTTGTATATTTTGGTAAGATAAACATTTATGTTTCAAGTAATGTGGAAATTTCTTGTGACATTTTAAGTTTAAAAAATTGCAGACATGGGAGATAAATTTTTTTTTAATTTTTCAGAAATGCTGGAATACCCGAGAAGTATTTGGCTCAAGTGGAAAGAAAAATAGCCCAGCCTCAACACATCAGTACATAATCATAAAATGACACAAAAAACATTGACTTGTTCAAGTATGGAGGGAATATAACCTCATTTGTTGAAAGAAAGAAAATAATGGAATTTTACATCATCTGATCTGAAAGAGATTTTCACATATCTTATTTTATGAAACACAAATTGAAAATTTGTATATTATATGTCTTATTTTTAAATTTCTTGATAATTTTATACAGGAAAGAGGATTTAATTTTTGATTTTAATATTACAGCTTTTATTTCATAAAATCATGGATTAAAGGATAAATATTTGAAATTTAAAATGCAGAAATTTTAGAAAATTGTTTTTTTTGTTTCATGATTTATTACAATTACATGTATGTATATGTATGTAAAAATGTTTAGTTTATTAATTTACACTTTTTATGGTACTTTTCACTGGTTCCTTTGGCCATTCAAATCAAATATTTTGATTGGCTGTTGTATAAAAAAAGACTCTGCTCTTGTGACTAACTATGGTACTGGAGTTTTTCATGAAGGATAAATATTTTCTTAGAATTATTAATTCCCATTATCAGTGGGTACGTATTTTCTTTGTTTTATTATTAACCAGTAAAAGAAAACTAGAAAACATTTTATTTCAGGCTGTTATTTTTTTATTTCACAGAAATATTAAATCTTAAAAGAGTAAATCTCAAAGAAGAAAAAATAATGCCCAGAAATGATTTTAACAGTATTTATTGAAACAATTGTGATGTTATTTTTATTTTTGTATGCGAGTCTGTGATATTTTATTAGTAAATTTAAATGTAAACTGTCAGATATAGTGTATGTGGTTTAGAAATATAATATTTATACATATTGTTTCGAAGAATAAAAATCATGCGACTAATTTTGTGATATCTAAGTGCTAACAATTGTCCCTAAGGAAAAAAAGATATTGCAGTAAATGCACTGAATTTTTTTCACTGCCAACATGATGAAGAGGATGACTAGCATGATTTTTTTATATTGATTTGGGAATATCTGTTCTGTATTCTTTCAGTTGAAATTAAAAATCTTTTAAAAATGATCTCATTTTTCTGTTATCCCATAATATGATCCTTTATCATACTATAATATAGAGTGATGTGATATGAACTATGTGAACTATCCACCAGTGACCAAATGACATAGATGTTAGCAACTAGGTTATAGTATGGCCTTCAACAATGAGAAAAAATGTAAACCACATAGCTAACACAAGATGGCTTCAGGACTGAGTTTTAACTAAATCTACACAGATTTCTATATGTTTTGACATAATGTGTAAACAATTTTTGTTTGTTAGATACAACATTTTGACATTTATATAGTTTTTTTTGTGTCATCGGTTGCTGACTCATTTAATAATTTCAACATTTCCTTTTATTTTTATTTTTTATACATGTACCATAAAATATTTTTAATAACCATTAATTCATAATGAGCAACACAAAACATTTAATTTTCCTTTTTGACATTTAGATAATGGCTTTTTATGTAGAAAATTTATGGTTTTATTCTTGAAATTTTTTAAAATTTCAGTACAAAAGTTAAAAAGGATGCATGGTAAGCTTACCAGGTTAGACAAAATATCATTTATATAGGTTAAATATATATATAGAAAATAACACAGAGAAGAATCATTTTGGACAACATATCACAGGAGGTCAAATCATTAAAGTATTAACAGACATGTTTTTTTTTTTTTTTATTTCTGGGTTCACATCATATCTTTGCAATAACCTTCATCATACACTTATAACAAACGTGTTGCCATATACATGATATATAAAGATAAAATATCCAGAGTAAGTCCTTTTTTTTTTTTAATAAACTAAATGTCTAAATTAGAAACAGTCACTTTTTATGTAATGCATGTGGTAAGCAATGAATACTTATGAAACATTGACAACTGGACAGATGCTAGTTTCACTCTTCTAGAAATATTATGAACCCAGTGAAAACAACTGCCTAAGCACTTTATAGAGTTTTGATAATATAATTTTATAGGGCAGTTTTTGCATGTGTGTACAGCTCATTGTCAATGCCTGCATGACTACTGATTAAGGCATCTGTTGGTTTTTGAAAGAAACAAAAGAACAACAAAGTTAATTGTTTTAAATTAATTAAATGGTGAAGTAAGACTGCATGAAATAGAATCCAAAATAATGTGACCAGTTTTTGAAAGTCACATTAAAGAACATATGTGATACAATGTAATCTTTAGAGTGACTACATATTCACTTATTTGTTCCCAGTGCAAATTTAAATAAATGGGCCTATCTGGTCTAATGAATGGAGTACTAGTATAAAAAGTCATATGAATTTAATGTTTAAATGATAAGCAGTCTTAGTTAGTTCTTTCAAATAATAAGAAATTCATCTATGTTCTCCGTTAGAGAATGAACAAAAATATTTTGTGGTGCTGAATATAACTAAATAAATCAGTTTGGTGACTATGTTGAATGTATCTATCCAACGAACTTGAAATAAAGGATACAACAGATACAGTTCATAAAATGAAAGTAAAAAAAATAAGGAGATCGAAGTGGTATGATTGCCAATGAGACAACTATCCACCAGAGTTCAAGTGAATTGGATAGAAGCAATTATAGGTAGGGCCTTCAACAATGAAAAAACCCAATACTGTATAGTCGGCTATAAAAGGCCCCAACATAAAAAAATGTGAACATTCAAACGAGAAAACTACCGGTCTAATTAATATATTTATAACAAAACAATTTATAAAACAATATATAACCGACATGAACCAACGACAACTACTGAACTACAGGGTCTTAACTTGGGACAGGCACGGGGTTAATCATGTTTGTCAGCGCTCAAAACTCCCTTTACCTTGGGCAGTGGTGTAACAGTACAACATAAGAACAAACTATAAAAATCAGTAGCAATTGGCTTAACTCAAAAGATCGGAACGAGGTAAAAACAACTTAGGTGACCTGAAGTTGTTAACTTCTATGTCATTTGGTCTCCGTTAGGGAATTGTCTCATTGGCAATCATACCACATCTTCTTATTTTTATAAAACATAAAACAAAAGACATCAAAAACCGAAATAAAAGTACTCGCAGTTACTGAAAGCTAGTTCATTGCCTATCACAGCTAATAAATAATACATGTTCTCCCAGACTAAAGAACGGTCTCATATATTGACTTATATGAGGCACCATTTTACTATATATTCCTTATTTTCTTATATAAAAAAAATTGAATTCCTATCACAGCTAATAAATAATACATGTTCTCCCAGACTAAAGAACGGTCTCATATATTGACTCATATGAGGTGCTGTTTTACTATACATTCCTTATTTTCTGATATCAAAAAATATTTCTTGATATCAGGAATTCAATTTTTTGATATCAAAAATTCTTTTTTTTTTATTTCAAGAATTCGATTTCTTGATATCAGAAAATAATCTTTATTTCTTGATATCAGAAATTCGATTTTTTCAGAAATCCATTTTATGATATAAAAAAAAAGATTTTCTGATATCAAATAATACCTGAGACTACTATAACACATATATATAGTAGTCTCAGATAATACTGACGATTTTTTGATATCAAGAAATACATTTTCTGATATCAAAAAATCATTTTTTGATATCAGAAAATAAGAAAAATATGAGTGATTGCTCCCTGTGTGTCAATAAAAGCATCCGAGCTCACCCATGAGCCCTAACATTAGGTCTGGTGTTTCGGTCGTGTATAAGGAAAGAATAGCTCAGAGTTCGGCTTCATCAGTCATAAGAAGTTTTGTGTGTTTGTGTTTCACATATGAATTATTTTAAGGTTTTTGTCAACAATTCTTGTAAATTCCCGCTTCTTTTATAAGCAATTCTTGGTTTCCTCTGAAACAGATTTGTGCAGCCAGGTTTTTGTGAAATTAAGCCTCAGTGTATTGGTAATCTTGTTTTTAGTTTTGTTCCCGTTGTTTATGTTGCGAATTTAGTAAGTTAGTTCTGTTTAGTATAAAAATATGGAGATGTGGTATGATTGCCAATGAGACAACTATCCACCAAAACTCAAATGATAGAAGTGGATGTAAGAAATTATAGGCAACCGTACGGTCTTCAACAATGAGAAAACCCCATACCGTATAGTCGGCTATAAAAGACCCCGACATGAAAAATATGAAACTATTCAATTTAGAAAGCTAACGGCCTAATTTATAACAAAACAATTTACGAAAAAAAAAAATATGAGACATGAACCAACGACAATTACTGAACTACAGGCTCCTGACTTGGGACAGACACATACAGAATGTGGCGGGATTAAACGTGTTTGAGCGCTCAAACCTCCCCTAACCTGGGTCACTGGTGTTACATCACAACATAGTGAAAGAACAAACTATAAAAATCAGTTGAAAAGGGCTTTACTCATCAGATCGATACAAAGAAGAAAAACAGCTAACAAAAACACAGACCGGACGTGGCAGGGTAACAACAACAAAAAGACACAAAGTACAGATGTGAGAGTACTTTTAGTTACTTACAGCTAGTTCAAAGCCAATAACAACAAATAAAAAAATTGCATGTCTTGCATGTATTTTCAAATACTTCGTCTATTTTGTCTTTTTACGAGATTTTTTTTTTGAAAGACTGCTAGTATTTCTTATGTACCGCGCCTTGCATAAATCCTTTAAATACATTTACTTTATATGAGCTTTTTCTGTGAAGTATTGAAAAGTTTTAGTAGGTTTGATGTACGTTTTCATTTCTAAAATACCTTCATTTTGGAAGCGTTTGTAGTTGTATTAAAACGACTGTCAAGAAAGTTACACTACATTTTGAGAAAATTGGTTTGTAAAATTAAGGTGGGTATGTATTGTATTAGAAATATAAGGCGAAAAGATCGTGGATTACGTCAGTTGAACATGAATATATCATCCAGCCATCGTATCTAAATCTTGAACACATCAGTATTTTGTTTCGATGTGTCAAGCTTTGTAAAACATTTTCCAGTATTTAGTAAATTCTTAGGTCGACTTATTCCACCGATAGGGATTGTTCGACGCAAAAGTAAATATGTTATATTTTAGAATCATTTCAAAAATTTTCAATATATTGTCTTTTAGTGCACGGGACTCGAATTTCGTAATTAGTTGGATCGAGGTAATTCAGTACTCGTTCAGTTTCGTCAAACTGAAGATTATTGTACATGTTTTTTGCTTCAAATATTTTTATTAAATAGCAGTTTTCTGGAGACTTTGAAGTCTAAATCATGTTTATCATGTTTATAAAACTTGAAGTGTATAAGCATTTTGTTTTGTAACAAGGGACCCAATGTCATCAATATAATGACCAATATCGTGTAGCGGCACTCCTAATTATAAATCAATTGGTCATCCGGGAACATTATTTCAGATATTTTCTGATGCTTGGGCTCATATGTGAGCTTGGATGCTTTTATTGACACACAGGGAGCCATCATTCATTTATTTTTTTATTTTCTGATATCAAAAATTGATTTTTTTTTATCAGGAATTCGACTTTTTGATATCACAAAATCATTTTTTGATATCAGGAAATCTATTTCTTGATATAAAAAAAAAAAGAATATTTTCTGATATCAAATATTCGAATTTCTGTTATCAAAAAATCGATTTCCTGATATCAAAAAATGAATTAAAAATGAATTTTTGATATCAGAAAATAAGGAATAAATAGTAAAACGGCGCCTAGACTTACAGCTAGAAATTGACAATGAGTGTCAGTTGAGAACAAAACTTTACGACAAAAGAGATAATTTAAGCTTCCCAATTGTGAACTTTCCATTTCTTTGTAGCAACATTCCGACAGCACCTGTATATGGAGCTACTAGTATATATCTCCCAGTTGATACGATATTCTAGGGCTTGCGTTTGCTTCCTATCCCGATTTATTTGATAAAGGATTGCTGCTTACAAGGAAGCTATTAAACCATTGCAAGAGTTACATGTGGTGAAGTTGATCTCATCTCTTCGAAAATTTGACGGACACCATCACGAGTTTTTCTAAGATTAAATCAGGAGGTTTAAACTT